GAAAAAGGAAATCAAGACCTGACCCCCCTTCCAGACAAATACGCCACTGTCGCAGGTGATCCGCATAACCGCAATAATCTCCCCCTGCTGTTGGGGATATCTGGTGCAGTAGTTCTCGGGAGGCCGCGAGCTTCGATTTGCTGTTTGAATCATCCGTTGGGCGACATTTCATTTGAACGTGATGTAGATCGAGTCACCAACTGCTACGGCGCAATCTTATACAACCTTTTGGGAAGGAGGACGAGGGAAAAATATCAACTTGCATGTGTAGTTCTATTATTGCCCTGACTCATCTCTCTACAATTTCTCTTGGTTTCGTACGCAATCTTTTTTATTTCTTTTTTTCCCTTTAATTTCCCATTATTACATTTTTGGGGGCGTCTTGGATAATGATTTTTATTTTTTAATTTTTAATAATTGCTGTGGTAGCTGGGTGTTATTGCGGCACAGTCGACCGCAGTCATTCTCTATCATTTCGGATTGAAGCCAGGGCCGGGAGATTCTTATTTAAAGGCTTCTTTGACCCGGCCAAAATTCAGAACATCATCACAACAGTTCCCTCTCCAGTTCACTCCTCAAGGGAAAAAGCGTCTTTGATCCCGAAGCCTTCTCTATCGATTGACACTACTCCAAGAAAAATCGTCCGTTGGACCCCAAACCGTTCTTCTACTACTTTTACTTTAAAACCATATCGCACCACTTCATTCAAACCTTTCGAATTTCCACAAAAAAACAATTCTCAAAATGTGCTCTCAATACTTCTACAAGTACGACTGTGGCTGCACTCACCCCGAGGGCGATGTCGTCTACTGTGCAAAGAGAGGCACTTCTTGCACCGGTGTGAGACAGCAGGTCCGCCGACGTGAGGGTTACAACTGCCCTGCCCATGGAGGTTAGATAGTACAAGAGCGAGGTGAGTAGCGCATGGACCAACTCTGGGAGATCATTCTAGAGCCGAGTAAGTTTTAGAGATAATTTTTTTCTTCGGTGGCTGACTGAGCTCCTATTCAAAAGGAAATATGGGGGGAGACATGAGAAAAAATGTCCTCAAGGCTGTGAGAGCTTCGATCGATCGCCGGCCCTTCGATATGCGCTTTTCTTCTTTTCCACCGAGTCCGCAGCTTTCGTGACATCTGGCCATCTCTCTCCCATCGACAACCCGCAACATCTCGAGCTCTGTGTATTTCTTGACCGCTTCCATGTATTCTCAAGAGAGATTTTTTCGGCGACGAACGACTACATTTGAACCGCGAAGAAAAAACGAAAGAAAATTTACAAAAAAATCTGTTGTTATTTTGTGATTGCTTGGGCTTGTTATCACTGATCAACGTTTCTATAACTACCCCCTATAGCATTATGCATAAATGTCTTATGTTTTGTTCTTGAGTTTTTTTTTTTTTTTTTTCGAGTTCTGATTGATTGTTTCTTGCTCTGCTTCTGTTTCTTTTCCCTTCTTTTCGCTCTTCTCGGGTTAATGGAACTTGTTTCCAGTTTACCCACATGGAGCTGTTCATTTCTTCAGCGAACCGCTGAGCTTTTTTCTTTTCTTTCCCCCCTTTTCTAAACCTGTTTGCTGTTTTGGCTCGCGTGCATGCTAGTCAAGATTCTTTATGCGCTGCTTGTCGAGACGTCAGTCGGTCTGTGTTTTGGTTTCGATGTCGCAGGATAGTTTTAGTTTAATGTTACGTTCTTTCGTGCTTTCATTCATATTGAGACTTCTATGGTAGATTCTCGACTAGATTAGGCAACCCTTGCTATCTTAGTTGTAAAGTTATAGCCATGTGCCTTGAACCCGTTGAGGCTACGCATGCATGGACCAACTATCTAAAAGCAAGATTGTACTACGGCAGCACTAGCGGGTGAATAACACCACACTACAAAAGACAGTTAGATTGAAAATTTAAATTGCAACGCGAGACTCGTATTCTCAGTCCATGACGGTCTGAAAATTGAAAACAAATTGTTCCTGTTCCGAGAGGCGTCGGGGTGGCCGATGGAGATAGTTTCGGGAAGAACCAATATTGCCTCCTATCTTTTGGGAAGGCGGGAGAGATCAATTCCAGGGAAACAACCTTCCTATGATTTCATTGTGATTGTCATCCCCCCTGTGGCACATGTGGCAAAGGAGGACATGCCTTAACTCTCCTTCGAAGAGGTTGATCTACAAAGATTAATTTGGCCGGCACTGCAGTGGCGCATTTAAAACTAGGCCATAGGTGCCCAATTCATTTTTCAACCCCGGTGATCGCGTTATCTGGTGTATGCGTGGGTGGTCCCAATCGCTTATACAACCCTACTATTTTGGGGGAAAAAAAATTTTCCCCGGGGTCCTGGACAAGATATGATTAGCAGCGGTACTCCAGCGGCTGCATTAGCACCGCAGACAACTCTCGTCATCTGATGTCGAGCCGTCAAATCAGACAGAGACGGAGCACAGACGCCAGTTATCTGGTGGCGATCCTCGCTGACAGGAGCCAACGAAGAACGCGGGAAGTCAAAGGGTGACCTGACTCAGTGAGGGTTTAAGGGAAAGGACCCGCGCGTGTATTAGCGAGGATGAGTTGCCTGGCTCACCACACCCGGGTGTGCTAGGAAGAATTGGGTCGTACTCCCAAATTTTGGATGCCGAGAATACCCCGTGTTCATTTCCCAGAGATTGTGAAGAATTTCAGCACAAAGGGGATCGGGGAGATGATTCTCGCTTTCTCTCCAAGGGAAAACCGTCCGTGTTAGAGAACGGGGTAGGCGGCCACGCCATCTGCGAGATCACGGCTGCAACGACAGGTAGGTGGCGTAATTTTTACACAACGCCAAGATCATTAGACGGCTGTTGAAAGAAGTAGATGCGGAGACTCCGGTGCAACCTGTCTGCGGATCGGCCACAGGAGAGGAGAGCATGTGTAGTGGGTTGAGACAACAGGACGGGGATTAGAACGAACAACAGAAATACTTCCGAAATGTAGACCCCCCTGTCGAGTCGTTCCATGGATTACAGCTCATTAGGCCCAGAAACAAACCAATGAACGTTGCAGAACGTCACAAGTGTTGGCTGCCAGAATAGCATGATATGGGATGGAACCCTTTGATAGTATTCTCTTGGAAGAAACTTGGTGGCACAGTGAAAAAAGGTCCGAGGAAGACCCCGAAATGATTCATCTCAGCTGGCGCATGCTCTACTGATGTGATTGCGCCGTACAGCGCCAGCGCCGCAATAACTGTGCCATCCCCTAAAAGAATGACCGACGCAAAGCCGGAATATTTGCGGACCCAGACTGCTGGGTCAGTAGATCCAAAGCGGTGTGAGCGCCGTTTGCCGGGGAAACGGGGTCACCAAAGTGTCAATCATGGAAGACCCTGGGGTCCTCCAAAACACTTGGAAATGCTTTCCCATCATCACTCATGTCGATTCACCTCGAGGCTGCTGGGATGCCACGAGCCGATGGGACCTGCCCCGGTCAGGTGTCGTCGCCGACGTCGTGTGGTTTGTTGATTGTCACGTGTGTGTCACGTGGAAATCACGTGTGGGCACCCGGCCGGATGGAGAAGGCGCGACCCTCCAGTTCAGCCTCAGGCTCTCAGCTCTAGGCTATACCGAGTACTGCCCTCCATCTCGTTCTCCCTTCTTGCCTGGGCCTAAAAATAATCGCTCAGCCTCATCGCCGTTCTTATAAATCAGCACTACTATACAGACCGTCTTGCTTACGGAGTTGGCTTCGATCACTCGGCAGGAATGCAACGTCTTGTCCGGAGATCGCTCGTTGTGAATCGGACCAAGCCACTGAAGTGTCAACAAACGATTCCGCATGATCAGCGCGAGAGAAGAGAACACAGAGCGTTGCTAGCTGGGAAAGATTTGGCTTTCCACAAGAGTGCAATTTCTGCATCAATTGAGAGAACAGAAGAGCTGACACAACAGTTCCCCCACGAGATCGAAGAATAATGCCGTTTCTGTCGCCGCCTTTGAAGAAACAACCCTGGATGACATCATGCCAGATAAACTCCGGCCCCCAAAGAAGCTGCGAGATTCTCTGTGTATACTGAGTAGGACAAAAATATGAAACACCAGGACGGTACAACTCATCGTTGCCCACACCTCCGACCAAACAGGCTACGTCGAGCATGAAGAGGAGCTGGCAATGTCTTAGTGACGAGGCCACTCATTATCCGTAATTGGTGCAACAACCAATTCTATCTGTCATAACAGAGACCAAATGGAGCATTACGTCAATGAGCATATCCGCCCCATTATCGACCCCATATCTCACTCGTTGGCTGTTACAGCATCTGTTTACTAGAGATTGGGGCCAAACGCTTCGATATAGTGTATTATTCGCTGAATCACCCCTGCACCCTATCTGGTCATCTGAGCTCAGGCCATGGTTAATCTGATCTTGGGAAGACTTGTCTTGTAAGGCTGAGGCAACGTGCCTATGAATAGAGTCTATTCTGGACCTATGCTTGGAGAGATCTTTGACTCAGCCACAGGGGTAACGATGTTAAGGAGATAGCATGTCATATTATTTCTAATCCATGTCATTCTCGGATTTAGAATCCAGGTAGCATTTCCCATAGTGGTGTACGGAGTTATCACACTTGAGTCAAATACTCAGTTCTGTAGATGCCATGTGAGGAAGTGTGGCAGAAATATGTGGGTCTACCGAAGAAGTGATCATTCAACCGATTTTATATGATTATATTCAAATGAATGAAGGTCTTAATTCTTCTAACTACACGATAAAGAAGCCGATATTTATGCAATCTCAGAGGCTTCAGGATCGTCATAAAATGAGCGGAATTGCATGATCGGCCCGATCAAGCAAGGCGGTTTAGTCATTTTCCGCGGCCACAGGAAGCAGCGGTGCTGGTGCACGTGACTGCGGTCCTCGCCAGCCGCCAAGAGAGAGTGACGTTGCGGCTTCATCCCGTCGCGTCTGCTTTGCTTCGGCATTCCACAACCCCACAACGTCCCTCCCCGTCGAGAAATTCTGGTCGCACATGTAATGTCCATAGACGTCAACTGGAGGACTGCCACCTCTGGTCCAGACGGTGAGGCTCTGGCAGAGCGCATTCGCTCTTTCATTCACGACAGGTTCCAGCAGGTGGCCCTCCCTCGTTTCATCCGATCCGTCCAAGTCCATTCTTTCGACTTCGGAACCATTCCGCCCGACCTTGAGATCAAGGACCTCTGCGAGCCTTTTGCCGATTTCTACGAAGAAGACGAAGATGATGAGACGTCCGAGGTGTCGGAGGAGTACGTCTCCGACCACGGCAATCAATGGCACGGGCATTCTGATCTCAACGAATCCCCATTTCGAGACGACTTGAACCACCCGCTACGCGATCCATTCGATGATGACTACCAACCTTCGGCCCTGCGATCACCAATGCCCTTAGGCGACCATCTGAATCCTCATTTCCTTCCCCGGGCCGGCACTCCTGGCATTCCTGGCGGAACGTCAACATTGGGCTATCACCTCATGTCCATTGGTGGGCTGTCGGGGACACAAACCCCTCTTGCCGCGGTCGCCGGTGGAACTCCCTTCGCGAGCAACTGGACAGAACCTGGCATGCGGCCTGGAAACATTCATCTTCCGTCAACTCCGACCCGTATGCATCACACCCGCCCGGACGCCGACATTGATTCTAGCAATCCGGCCTCGCGCCCCTCGACGTCGAGTACCCACCCGTCTCATCCGTCTGGGTCACAAAGAAATAGCGGGGATAGTACAATGGGCAAAGACAACGGACCGCATCGGCATGCAGAGAATGACGGTGCACAAGGCGATCCTCTGCGACTTCCTCCTCGAATGAGGGAGCGCAAGCCTGAAGATTTCCAGGTTATGTGTCACGCCAAATATGCGGGGGATATCCGGCTGTCGTTGACTGCGGAGATCTTGCTTGATTATCCGATGCCGAGCTTTGTGGGACTACCTCTGAAGCTCAACGTCACCGGTCTCACTTTCGACGGAGTTGCGGTCATCGCCTACATTCGAAAACGCGTTCACTTTTGCTTCCTATCCGCCGAGGATGCGGACGCCTTGATAGGGTCTGAACAACAGGAGACCGGGGATCAGAGCGACCATGGCCGGACCGGGGCCGATCCCTCCACGTCACCTAAACGCCAAGGGGGCCTTCTGCGAGAGATTCGAGTCGAAAGCGAAATCGGCCGCAAAGAAGATGGAAAACAAGTCCTGAAGAATGTCGGAAAAGTTGAACGGTTTGTTCTAGCTCAGGTGCGACGTATCTTCGAGGAAGAACTTGTTTTCCCGAGCTTCTGGACATTTCTCATCTAGGCATCACGAAGGAACGAGCCACCAACAGCGTAATTTGGATATTGACTTTCTTTCTGGGACATACTTTCGTGTGATTTATACCCTAATTAAATATCAAATTAGACATTCATCTCCTGTTTCAAGCTATGTCAGACTAACACAAACAGCATCTCATCTTTCTCGGGCAGTTCCATGCCCTTTCTCTTGCCGTTGACCCATAGTCCCAAGCAAACCAAACAACGACGGTCAGGTGACAGAACAAACCCTTGCAACCTTTCTAAACATCACCGAGTCCGATCCCACCGGGCCAGCCATCTTCTCCCACCTATCCTCAAGAATTATCATAAATTCAATAACTTGCATCACAAATACACCATCTGAGCACTAGGGTTAGTTATTTACACAATCCGGGGGAGACAGATGGCCATAGGTATGTCTTGCATTAGCCTGCAAATTATATTACTGTTTCTCAGCAGCGCCACTGATTTCGAAGAGAGGCGAAGAGGGGAAAGGAAGTGCATTTTCTGTTTGTTGTCCTATTTCGATTAAGATCGTCGGAAGATTGGTATTCTCAATAGAACTGCATGAATCCTTAAGCTGCTGTTGTTTCAATTGTAGCAACCAGTCGGCGCAAAGTATGGGGAAACTCCAGCTCTCAGTCCAGATCGTCATTCAGCTATTACGTGTCTACAAACACAAACTGAGGAATTAAGTGAATCACATTGTGAACTAGGCTACCAATGACTATGCCAGTACGACATCCTATGCGGAATGCAACATGCCTTTGAAGAAGCAAAATGCGCAAGTGCACATCATTTGCTTCATGATGTTTGCTTGGGGAGCAAATTCGCCGAATCATACGCTTTGTGGAGCATCATTCATGCAGCCTTAAACTTTTTGGTTATCGCTTTTGATACGAAGAGGAGTGGCTTGCTATAGCACTCGCTAAGGGATCATCTTACTGAACTTGGCTAATCTTCCCTCCTTCATACGCTTGGAGCTACGTTGAGATGCATGCGAATTGTTGGTATGCATTCAATAACTGGGTCTCACGGACGGCACTTGCCTGTCGAAGTCGTTGCATTGGAATACCGACCGAGTATGATATCGACAAGTGAGACGGCCACGTACTTAGACCAGACCAGTCGAGCTGAAAGAAGCGGTTGCATTCTGTTTGCATGGCTCTACCAGATTCCGAAAGCCATCGTCATTGCGCAGACTTGATGCCGATATGAAGCATCTTTATCCCCTGAATTGAACATAAATAGCTCGCTTTTACCTGCTGGTAGATCATCCATCCATCCATCAGCCACTCAATTCGCACATATCCACCACCACGCAAAAGACCGTCACCATGCCCGCCATTGTCACCAGTGACTTTGCTGCTGCCTCTGATGGCTCCACCATCTGGGTCTACTACCAGAACGATGCCAATGAGCTTCGTGAGGTGACCTCTTCGGACGGATCCAAATGGACTGAAACTTCTAGCGCTGTCGCTGACAAGCTTAATGCCGGTGGCTCTCCTATCACGGCCTACTATATCAAGAACGACGGTACTGCTGGAGGCAAGCCTGCGGTAGGATATCCCTCCCATGTATTCCACAAACACAAGCTGATCTGAATGTGCTAGATCCACGTCATCTACATCGACGCATCTGGGATCCTTCACGAGGTGGTCAAGACCCCTCTTGACAACCAAAAATGGGAGGCACGCAAGCTGTCGGATGACATCAAGAAAGCACCCATCCAGACCTCTCGTCTCGCTAGTGGAGTTTGTCATGACACCGCCCCTGGTGCTCATCAGTGGATCTTCTTCGAAAAGTAAGTCCCGGTTCTTGTGTCCCCGCAGTGCCTTCCAGTGCCTTCAAAACCTACTTTAGGAAACCACAACTTACCCGATATACTTCCCAGACTGGACTCGGAATCTGGTATTCCTCAAATCGCCGAGCTCCGCAGCGGCTCGGAGAGCAGTTTCAAATGGGTCTATCAAACCATTCTTCCTGAGAAGCCGGCCAGCGCTCTCCCCGGTACTCAGTTGGCCACCAACATCACCGATCCCGCCAACCGCCTCTTCTTCCAGGACCACAACGGTGACGTTGCCGAGTATATCGGTGGTTATGATAGTTGGAATGGTACGGATCCCCTCTCTCCCTTCTCCTTCCCTGCCTTCTCTTCCTTATCCCCTCCTAAATCCTCCCCAGTCCCTAGCCACCCCACCCAGCCCTTAAGAAAACCAAATAACACCGCTGCAGACCACGCCGAAATCCTCACCAACGACAAAGTAGAAATCAACACCCCCATCTCAGCAGCCGAGTCCTCGGTCCCGGAAAAGCCGTATGTATTCTACGTATCGAAGAGCACGCCGCTCATGATGATGTGCTACGACCATGACAAGTCGACCGAAGTCGGCAAGTACTATCCCGGTACGAAGATCGATGCGATCACTGTTGGGAAGAAGGTGCTTTTGTTCCATAAGCCGCTTGAGCATCCGGGTAGTGTTTGGACTAGGGTTTTTGATGGGAGTGAGTGGAAGATGGGAGCGCAGGTTGTTGGGGCATAGGTTTGATTCTGGGGGTGGGCTTCAGGCTCTTGGGGGATGGTGTTGGAGGTGTTCAGGGAAGTAGAGGTAGTTGGAGTTCTGCCTTTGGGGGTGGGGAGGTAGGAGTTGGGGGAGTTTGGGAAGCAGGAGTTGGTGAATGTGGATGGAGCCAAGAGTTGACGATTGGAGTTGATGCTAGGGATTGGTTCGTAAAGATTGGTAAATTGTCTATGGAAGGAATGACAGAATGAATGATGATTATTTCTTTGAATCATGGATGTGACTGATAACTCCAACTACTGAAAAGCCTCGGGTGTCTATGTCAGGTGTTCATGCATTAGGGAGGTTGAAGTATATGCCACGAATAACCTAGCCTTGTGTCTACTGTATCTGTGCAAGTCACAAGCGGTGTCTTTGCTCTTTTTTATTTCAAGGTCAATTCCATTGACTGTTTGATTGGGTTACCTTATGTTAAGCATACAGTTTCACTGATAACCCCTTCAAAAGAAACGAATCTGATAGTAGCTGTAGCTAGAAAAACAATGCATTGATGTCCCATCATATAAGGCTATCAACAATTCAGTTTCAAAACACATCTTCCACAAAAAAACGCTGCTGCTGTCAAACAACAAGAACAAGTCAGAAAACATCCATAATGAAAATAAATGCCCGAGCTCGTGATAAAAAAAAATCAGCCATCAGCCCTACCAGACGGGATGAGCCGGATAGCTCTCCACACAAAAACATCTCCCATAGATCAACCAATATGCCCACCACTTAAACGGGCAATGGATCCATAGATCAGATGGAAGTATGTCTGACTTCGCCTAAAACCAAGAAACAAATGGGCCCTCTCTATAGGTCCTTCTTGGCGCCTTCCTTCTCGCCGGAGACCTTGTCACCCAGAGAGTGGTATTCCCGAGTAAGTCCCTCACACTGCTTCTTGAGGGTCTCGATGTCGCGGTCTTTAGCGGCGAGCTCTTCCTTCAGGCGGCCGATCTCGCCGACATCTCCGGCCTGCGCAAGACGGGCGGAGTCCTTGCCGCCGGCCTTCTTGTCACCCTCGAGGAGCTTGACGCGGTCCTCCAGGCGGAGAACCTCGAGGATCATGCTGTAGGTGCGGTTGAGGATGAGAGAGAGGAAGAGAGTGAAGCCGCAGAGGTACATGTTCCGCTGGGAGTAGAATTTCCGGGCCTGCACTTCCATGCGGTCGGTGCCGAGGGCGGCAGCTCTAAAGGTTGCGAATTGTATTAGCAAGCTGTGTCAACAGTAAAAAAGAAGGGCTGTGCAATAAGAATTGGGGATTAAAGGTAGAACTCACCCCATGCCACTACCCTCCTTATGGAAAGCGCGGAGCTCGAGCTGCACACGGTAAACCCGGTTGACACTGTCGATGAAGAGGATCAAGATGAAGATGAAGGTGATCTTGCAAGACTGTCAGCCTACTTTCCAAATGTCGCAGATAGAACATATCCGAAAACTTACCTTCAAACCGTACTGAAGCTTCGCAACAACCGGGCTCTCCGAGACGAAAGCAAACAACTTCCGCTTAACGGTGAACGGCAGAGGAATGATGAGGCCCATGAAGACACCCATCTCAAACACCAAGAGGCAGAATACCTGCAGGTTCTAGTCAGACATAGGGTTCTCCAATGATATGTTTTGATGAATTGCGTCATGCATTAACCGCCGGGAGCTGCCAGGGAGAACACCACCCGAAGGTCGACGAGTAGGCAAATTGAGAAAGGCAGTAGAGGGATAAACGTACAAGACTGTAGTATAGAGTCATTGTGCCTAGAATTTTGAATAACTGATTGTTTTCAAGAGGAAAGAATCAATTTTCAAGCCCTCAGGCTGCCGGTGAGGCGTCGTGTGGGGAGGGGGAAAGGGATTGAAAATGTAAACAAAAGTGGATAAGTGCCAGTAATGACCTCCAGGGGTCCAGTAAGATCAGAAGTAGCTCAAGATTTATAGTCAAGAGGTTGAGGAGCAGAATACGGATGGATTCCGGGTAGAGATGAGATTAGGGGTGTCGGAACAATCCAGCAGAGACGAGGTGGTCTTTTGCAGTTTTCGGGTGCGAGGAAGACGTCATCACCGCCTGAAGCTGGGGGCACGGCACGTGACTGCGTCTGCCTTGGATTCTAGGAATGCGTGGAACACGTGCCGAGAGATCCTCGGGGAGCTTAGGCAGACACGTCACTTTCTTCTACTTCCTACCTCTATCTAGCACTGCATCGTAACACATATGTACATTCATGTTTCATGTCTATCTAGGATCTAATTTTTCATCACTCTTCTGCTTTTTAACCTTCCGCTTCGTCGTAAGAGTTGGACTTGTGTTTCGGCTCGAACTTGAAGTCCTTATGGGCTGGACCAAGGAACATTTCCCTGTTGATCAATCTGTCAGCATTCGATGCGGGTTACACGAGGGTGGAAGGGCAAATAGCCCAGGGGTAGGCAACTTACGTAATTTTGATCCAGTCCTTGTAGTTGGGACTGCCCATGAGCGTCTCCAAGTCGTTGCGGCCCTTCCAGATTGGTGGCCGGTCCTGGATGTTGGGTGGTAGATATTCGAGGATCCCGATCGGCACGTAGCGATAGGTGAAGCTGAGCCATTCGAGCAAGAACCGTCTGGTGATGCCAACGCCATACTCGTCAGATCCCCACGCCTCCAGACCGTACTTAGCGAATTTCTCGACCATTGACAGACGCTCGGATGCAGACTTGTCCAGGTACTGGCCCGCCTGGATCTCCTCGAAGATCCAGGGCTTGATCAGAGCTCCTCGGCCAACCATGACACTGTCAACACCGGAGTTGTTGATATGCTCATCGTAATCGTGGTGCGAGTAGCAATCACCATTTCCAAGGAAGAATGTCTTCCCGCCGTTTGGCTGTGTCCGCGCGTCGGGCTCGCGGATGGTGTCGGTAAGATCATCCGTCTTCTCGTTCAAGCGCTTGACGAGAGCGGCACATTCGGCAATATAACCCCAGTCGGCGGATCTAGTGTATCTTTGCTGTCGGCTTCGCCCATGAAGAGTGATGGCTGCAGCGCCGGGAGGGCCAACATCAAGCTGCGAATACTCGTACCCTCCAAGAATCATACGTTCCACCAATTTCGTGGCGTTCGGCGCATTGTCCCTGGTTCCCATGCGAATTTTGACGGAAATGGGGATCTCCTCCGAGACGGCATTCATACCACGCACGATTTTCTCCAACTTCGCCGGATGTTCCAACAGAGCAGACCCGGCTCCTTCACGGAATAGAAGGTCAATCGGACAGCCGCAATTCAAATCGATGACGCGCAGGTTGGGCGTGTAGCGGGACAGGACCTCGGTGGCCTTCAACGCTTGCCAGGGTTTGTTTGCCGCGATCTGAGCGCCGAATTTGATATCCTTGGAGTTGTCGTAGCCCTGGACAATATTGTCCTTCATGGAGACAGTCGGAGGAAGCATCTCCGTTTCATGGGCTCTCATCAAAGCCCATTCGGATTTGTGGCCTTGGACCAAGGGCATGCTCATAGCCATCTCAGAGTAGGTAAATTGTGCGCCGAGTTCCGTGCACAGTCTCCGAAAGGGGAGGTTTCCTTGCGTTGTCAAGGGCGCCAAAGCAGGGGTCTCGGGTCCAAAGTATAGCCGTCGCTTCTCGGATGGCAGAAAGGGGGGTTCTGTGTATTGGGCCCGGTTATCTTCCTTTTCCTCCTTCCCCTCGTTATTCTCGGGTATCGCGTTCCCATCCTGGTGTCGACCGTGGTTCTTCTTTTCCAACTCTTTACCACTCTTATCCAGCCAGGTGGTGAAAGCATCCGCCCGTGGCGTAGTGGTCTTCTTTCTTGCGAGCGCATACTTGACGTCTGCCGGAACGACATTCGCGCTACCATCTTCCGTTACGTGTGGGACAAGCGGCTGCGCCTTGTTCTGGCGCTCCTCGTCCTCAGTCAGCACCAGCTCTTTCTTCCCGTCCTCGGTGTCACGTTCCGTCATGTGGGAGCCAACAAAACGGCACTTCCACCCGGCAGGACACTTGCCCCTCGCATTCCAGACAGGACAGAGATTGTTGAAGGTGGTGAGATCCTCGCGCTTGTGTTCCTTCAGGTAGGTCCGTAAGTCATGCTCGTGGCGACATTTTTCACCCCATTTACACGTGCCTGGGGAGAGCTCCGGCGCAGAGTGCCGGCTCGGGCAAAGGGTCTTTTCATCCTGCGATCGTCCGAACGAACGTCCTTTGTTTGCGCCGGTGTTCTTCTTCTTCTTTTCCTTCTTGTCCTTCTTGCCTCCATCGCGATCGTCGTGGCCCGCGGCCTCCGCAGCGTCGTCGGCGTTTTGTTCGGGTTCCTGTTTGGGGATGGGGAGTTGCTGAATGAGGAACCTAGTCGAGGGGTTAGTTTGTCGTGCTCAAGGCAATTCCGCGCAGACTTCGAGGCACACGTACTCTGGCTTGATGGCAGCGATTCCCTTCAGGTGCCGACCTCCGGTATTCGCGCTTTCTTCATTGGAGGCTGCAGGTTCGTCCAGCTTGGCTTTCTTCAAAGGGGGGCCCTCGGTAGCATCTGCAGCCAATGCGCCGTTCTGCTGTTCGGGAATAGGCGCAGTGGGTGGTTCTGCTTGCGGCGGCTGCGCCTGGGCGTCGGTCGAGTCCATTGTGGTTGCCACTGTTTTTGTACAGGGAACAAACAATTAATCAACCTGAGTGGATGGTAATGAAAGCGAGAGAGAAGGGATACTAGTGCCTCGTCCCGTCGCTGTCGTGTTCGTGGACTTGCAGCGATCGATCTGCCGCCAAAAATTTCGAGACGCAGCCGAACCAAAGCGGAGAGAGGCCGCAGTTTGCATGCTTTGCACTACCGGGGTGGCGGGGACTCCGAGTGGCGCACGAAGGCGGTCAAGAGCGGTCGAGTCGGTGGCGGTGCGGGAGTCGAGGAACACTAACTGCACACTGCAGAGTGATGATGTCGAAGGGGAAAGTCTGTTTCCTAGCCGGAATTACCGTACGGAGTATGCCATACACCTGGCGGCATACGCGGTACGAAAAGGTGAGGGTAATGACGGTAAGATTACCAGAGTGGATCGCACCCACCGAGAACGAACCTTCTTTCGCCAACCACGCCTTTTCCGTCGCTTTCATTTCGCTCTTTTTTCTAGAAGACCTCGGCCTCTAGCAAACAATAGCCTTACCAGCCTCTCTTTTCGCCTCGACTCTACTCTGTACGGTTTTAGATCGGTGCTGCCCCCCCGTGGACAGCTCCACTCAGCCCACCATCTTGGGATCCATTCCCTGAATCGCCTTTACCCCTTTCTGCAACGGTGGAAATTAGGACAGCCATGAGCGGTGGGATGAATAGTTACTAGTTATTGATCGCATCCAGCCAGTCTCCGGATGGGAACCTGTCGCCAACCAAAACAGTTAATCCGAGCGACAGAAACAGAGAAAGTGACCTACGATCAAGGTGTGTCGTTTCTTTTTCCTGTTTGTCGATCAGGGGGAAATAAAACCAATCGCAGAAGAGCTGGCAACTCAATTGCATCTTGGCACCAGGATCACAAGACAGATGTAGACGCGTCTGTGTCCAATGACTGGAAGATAAGTAGACAAGAACGGAGTACTCCGTACTGAGCACTCTGTCCAGTGCAGACAGATCCTCTGTGATCTATCCCCACCGGAGAGGTTTGACTGCACATTGCGAATCGTACGCAGCGGTGCGACACAAGACTGTGTACAGCAGTCTGCAGAGGCTCAGGTGGATGGACCCGAGATCCACCTCTTCAGCATTCTTCCGCGTCTGCACTCTGCACCTTCACATCAGATGGCGACCAGCCCACATGTAAGGAACAAAAGCACAGGTGGCGTTTTGTGATCCGCGGATTTGGCAGTGATTGATGACAGTTCGCCCTGTCGATGGTTGATCATGCAATGCATCGTCTGAGACCTTAGGGTTGTCCGATCTGTAATCGGTATGCCTCCAGGGTGAACTGATGTGCCATCTGCATTCTGTGCCTCTCTCGGATCTCCCCAATCCGGAGTTTCCATTGCCTCGGGTTCGGGAGGTTTCGCAGGAGATGTACGGAGTAGTTTGTACGGACTACGGATGAGCCATCTCCACAATACTACAATACTGCTCGGGAAGGACTTCGTTGCTGAAGGTGATGGGATGGATGGTTAGCTGTCAAACTCGGGGTACCGACTACCTACTGATACTATTGTCTTGTAAAACCATCGTAATAAGGCGGAAAGTCAAAGTGCAGATCGGAGGTGCTCAAAATTTAGGTTCGCTTACAACGAGCCGAGCATGCGGCCGCCCTTCAGTCTTCAGAGTCGTTGGTTATTGGTATACACTATTGAAACTGAAGAGACAAGGTGATTGTGGATGGACTCCGTCGCCTATCACCATTTCAGGTTACTCCGTAATATATGATTATGAAGAACAGCGCGCGGTTCCAAAAGGTGGCGAATCCTTCATCGGAAGTTATGACTAACAGCACCAAACGAATTACTCCATAGTTATGTACTGGATGGCCGTCAGCGCGGATGCTTCATTTAATACGGAGGTAAAGGTAAGGAGATCACATCACTTCGTACCACACGATTACCCCTTATTGATCATGCGAGTCCTGACATCGCACCCTTGCGTTTTTCCTGCGGATAGAGCGTATTCCATTAAATCCGTACTACCTCAAGGAATCCTTCTGCCGTGTTTCTAGCGTCGAAGCCAAGACACGGTGTATTCCGGCGTCATGGCAACATCATTGGAGAGCGAAGGGAGGCTGTGTGTCGCTTCCGACTTTAGTATGATCGATCGGTCTGCGAAGAGGCGGGGGATGATCTTTTTTAGGTAGTTATTGCTCTGCTCCAAAATTGGGGGACACTTGCGTCTTATCACAACAGCACGGTATCCGACTGAACTCCGACTAGAAAGTTAGCACATCAACTACTCCCGTGAAATCCATCCAATACTACCCAACAGACGCGACGCAGGCTGCTTGGGCTAGCGCCGGAATCATAGCGCTGATTCCCCTGGACACCGTTGTCTCCGTACTTTTGGACAGACCGCCAAGTTGTGTTTGACTTGGTCTGATGTGATTGCCTGCCCATGGATTCCCCGGACAACTTCCCCTCGACCGATTTGATGTCATTAGGAATGGGAGGGGGGCAAACTGGGGGGAGTGGAGGGGACGATAAGCATGGACGCTACTCCCCCCTAGGGATCTATCGCTCTCCCGTAATTTGTGATAGATATTAGAGACTGAGAGATGGCCCCTGATCCTGATATTCAGTTTAGATAATAGATCCGTACAATTAGGGCAATATTAAACCCTCCGAGACCCTGGCCCCGACTTTCATGAACGATTGGAGAGCCAAATCCATAATCCATAGCGAGTAGTTAGTCCCAAACCATAGCGTTTCCACACGCAGGGGGCCCTGCACGCATGTGCTTAACACTTGGTATTATTATTATTTAGCACTGAGCAGCAGTTCTCATCTTACGGTCCATTTTGGAGTTCCTGAAGATCGAGCTTAACGGCTGTACGGAGTACACTCATTTTTGAGATCGTGTGGGGAAGTCTTTGGGGTGACAACTGTGCATCTCAGATCTGTGTATGCGTATCTAAATGTCTATCTAGTACTGTGAACCCTGGATATAGTCCCGGGGAGGATGGTCAGCCGCCCCCTTTTTTGTATGACTCTGTCCACTCCATGAGCAAGTTCCATGACGCATCCCGGTTCATGGTCAGGAGTAGTCAGATCCCGTGGGAACCATGGATGATATCACTCCAATCCCGTATTCCCCTCCATCGGCAGTAAAAGCCGACAGGAAGAGCGAGGGAGGACAAGATCGAGTCAACTCGAGTCCGAGTCATCGTTGGGACGTGGCAGCGTTACCCGGACAAGTTGGACAACGCAGGAGGAAGTGAGTCCGACTTCTCGGCATTTAATACGGAGGCAGAGTAACCGTATGGTAAGATGATGCGCAGGATGACGCTGCCCTCCCTCATCATCGACTTTCTTCGCAGAAACACTAGTGAGGCCGCTAACCTGCAAGCGGTGTCAAATCCACCGCTTCTAACGGTCCCACCACTCCGTCCACAGTAGGTACTGTGTACGGCTGGCTATTTCCCACAGATCGTTTTGGAACTTGTAACTTGTAAGACATTTGAGAATGATTGAATTCTTTCCTACAGAGGACAGAGGACAGAGGACAAAGTACGGAGGACTAACAGGGAGGGAAGTGACTAGTTTCAGACTTGGTCGGGGAGATTTCCTCGGTCGGAGGAACCACCGTCCCGCGTAACTTACGTCGCCTGTGACTCCCGTATTACATGTGAATTACGCAGTGCCCGCTGGATTAATTACTCATTACTGTCTTCGCCTACTTCGAGGCCCATCACCTTCCGCCAGTTGCCTCATCCTCTCCCTCCATCTCTTCTCGCGAAAGTCTGGCGTCCCCTTGCGCTTCCATCCCGTTGGATTCGATTCCAACACCTTCTCCGGCTGCTTGAACATTCTCTCTGCCCTCGTGTCTATTCGTCTTCCACGTCGCTGGGAGCTGATCGGCATTATATTGTTACGTGCCGCCACCTTTCCCGAATCCGTCACGTTTCCGCAGTCCAAAGCGGGACAATATCCGAGGGTGGACACTCCCCTGTGTGAATCCGCCCAAAACCGTCCGTCGAGAGTTCACCTCTTCATGCCCAAGTCGTCCGAGGTGACGCTGAAGCTTCCCTTCTCTTCCTTCTCTGCTATCCTCTGATCGGAGATCTCAACTCGCGCCTTTCCCTGGGACGTCCGACCATCCCGTAACCGCTCCTCTCGGGTCTGGCGTACCGTTTGCGCATCATTCTTCGGTCGCTCGTGGCCTCGAATTTCCACTCGAGACTGGTCTCTCTTTCACCCGCCGTCGATCTTCGCATCCCGTACCTTCCTTACTCCGGATCTCACGACCTGCCGGTTCCTCTCCTTCGCAGTATATCTATCTCATCACCGTCACCATGACCGGCGCTGCCGCTCCGATTGACATCGCCACCCGCCAGAGCTCTGTCTCGCCCCCGGGACAGCAGGCCTCGAACCTCACCTCGGCCTTGCAAAGAGCCGGCAATGGCGAACGCACGGGGAGTCTCTCTCATGCCAACGGCGTTGGACTGAGCATGTTCAAAGCTCCCCCTCCTCGAAAAGACTCCATTGGTACAACTTCTGCACACTGGGGAAACGGTACGAAACCGATCTCTGTATCAGGGAACAACCGCGATAAACAGCGCCGCGAATCTCTAGCCGGAAGCTTGGTAGGGGGCATGAGCTGGGGTGGCGTGTCCGTTGGCAGTTGGATACGCGACGAGTAAGTTATTCCATTATCTCTGCCATTCCCGAAAATTTGCCGCTTTTTCTGGCGGGGTGGGATCAGAGAGCCCCGTATGCGCAAATCAAGCTATGGAAACTGACGATTCAACACTTCCAGTATTCTTATGACTGGCACTTCTCCGTTCCACATTCAATCGCCTTCCTTTCACTCGTCCTCATACCTGCCGAAGCTAGAAGCAAATTTCATGCGAGATTTCCAGTGTTGTAATGTGACCCTGCCGACTCTCCACGACCTTCTGCAGCACTACGAAGAAGCCCACGCTACGAAATCTCCCCACCAGGGAGGACATCGCCCGAGTCAAGCGGATGGCCGTGCTGCTTTGGCTGCAGCTGCGATCGCGCAACAACAGAACCAGCAGAACCAGAACCAGAACCGCGGGCTGCAGCCTGACAGGACTCTCGATCTGCAGCGGAAATTGAGTCAGACCCAAACTATCCAGCCTCATTCCGACATGGACACAATCGACGACATGGAATTAGATGAGCCGATGGGTGACGGCGATCCCACATCCTCCCATTTGTTCTCGCCACCGTCGCAAGATGGCAGCCAAGGAGGCTTTGGCAATTCCAACCAGAGAGTTCCTCATCTGAATTTGTCGATGCTACCGAGTCATCAGGGCTTCAAAGGCTCTCAGCCAGGGACACCGGTGGCTTCCGGGCGCCCCCTGTCTTTGCAGAATAACCCCACAGTTTCCTCCGTAAATACGCCGACGTTGATGGCAAATCCCCTGCAGAACTCGCAATTCCGAACTACGCCGGATTCCTCTGCTCCAGGCACCCCGGCAGAGCTGGATGAAAGCATGATCAATCCGTTCGGCGACATGTCCATGCAAAACAACCCGATGATGCAGGCCCAGGGCCAGTTCGGCAGGTTCAGCAATGACATGGTCGATCTGTGCATTGACGAACCTGCCAAACGACTATTTAGTCCCACTGGAGGTCTTAACTCTCCTAACGCCCACTTCAAGCTTAGCGGTGCGCAGTACGGTCCTAACAGCGAAATAGCGCGCCGAATTCGCGAGCAGCAGTTGTTGGCCGGTGTTCCCGACACCACCGCTTTGCTCCCTAACGAAGAGCCTAAGCCTTTCAGGTGCCCTGTCATCGGATGCGAAAAGGCATACAAGAATCAAAATGGCTTGAAATATCACAAGGCTGTAAGTGACCCTTTAATTCCGCTTCGTGCTACTCAAACTAATTATCTCCTTCCCCCCTTAGCACGGCCACAACAACCAGCAATTACATGATAATGCAGACGGCACTTTCTCGATTGTCAACCCAGAAACATCGGCACCGTATCCTGGCACGCTCGGTATGGAGAAAGAGAAACCCTACCGTTGCGAAGTCTGCGGCAAACGATATAAGAATTTAAATGGCCTCAAATACCACAAATCGCACTCTCCGCCGTGTAATCCCGATTTCCAACTTGCCGCTGGTCGCAACCTGTTTGGTGGAGGCGTTATGCAGGGTCAAAATATCAACGTCGCCGGAGCTGGCCTACCTGGCATTGGTGAAGAAGGGCTTTTATAAACAGTCCTTTGTCCAACTCGAGGAAGAACTGTTTATCTTTCTCTCCCCCGACATAATTCGATTCGACGATATCTCTTTTTGTTAACGGCCTCGTCGCGACACACGATTAATGAACCGGTTTGGTGGCTTGGAGTTAATTTCGGTATGAACGTTCTATCAATCGCGGTTTCCCGACCCCGGTGCTTTGGTCTGGAATAGATCGATCTTCCCCAAGACCCTGGAGACGCCAAATGACTTGCTCTCTATGAACTTGCTACACCTTGTCGATATGAGTGATTGTTTCTCGGTCATTGTTCTTTTCTCTTCTCTCTTCTCTTTCCATTGGATTGCTTCTGCTTGAACGCCTTATGTCTTGGATACGCGAATTTGTGAGCTTGAATGTTCTCACATGTCGTCCTTAATACATTTCTCTACGGTCTTTGTTACGAGATACAGCCTCTCAGCGAGGAGGTTGAGACGGCAACACAAAGCATCGAGAAATCTATAGTGTGGGATCAAAAGTATAAAATCAACTATGGGGACTATGTCAGTTTGGATGTGATCTTGGGACACATGATTGGGTTTGTTGCAAACAGGTTTTTGCTCCAGCGCGCAAGATCTGAGAATTGGAAAATGGCGAATTCCCGGCGTCCTGAAGATAGATGTTCTACAGGCTTTTCTCTTTGGCTCTTGCTTCTTGCTTTATTTTTATTTTTTTTTTTATTTTTTGCTCGATTTCTTCTCTTGCTTTTTTGTTTCCTTTATTATTGTCCATGGTGTTGTCGGAGAATTCTGGAGTTGGGTTGCTGCACATAACTACTCTATGTTTGCTGATAGATTTGGTCTAGTTTGATTCCCATGGCTTTAGCTTTGTTTTGCTTATAGTGGAAAAGAAAAAGTTCGGACAATATATCATCACTCCTTTGTACATTGATTTCGGTCCCCTGAGAGACAATCTGCTTGTTAGAGGTAACAATACCGCGAGCGTACAAATCCTTAGACATGCCTGGATTTGAAGGCACCCACCACAGCCTTTCCGCTTGCCTAGGCCTTCCTTTCTCTCCCCTTCTTTTTCTTTCATTTCTCTTCCCTCCCGTTCATCCATCCCTCGCCACTTCTTTTACAATCTAGTAATTACGGCCTAGATCCTCTTGTTGACGTCATTAATGACGGGGATCTACAGATCCTCCCCAACTTTTCCCGTCTTCCTGAATCGGTATTTCTCCGAATTCCTCCGGGGGAACTTGACATCGAACGTATGGTTTACGCAATGTTCAGTAGATGGGTCGTGTCTCGATCGAATGATTGTCGTTTTTTATTATTTATTTATTACTCAGAGGTACGGTGTCATAATGATACATACATATTGTGTAGAGATTTTTTTTAATCGGAATCACACTAATGGGGCGGTTACTTGCATACATACATATCTTTACTCATACAGGCATCTATGCAAAGAATCTGAAGCATGGTGTCACCGCGGACGGGACGGGCGGCAGGTAGCAGTAGCATTGGCATTCGCATTCGCATTATATAGTTCGGATAGATAAGTATCTGTATTGTAGTGAGTGTTTACTTAGCAGTGTGACCTTACTGCTGCTCACTTTCTGCTCCTGTGCTGAGTTGAATGGAGAAGATTTAATAATATGTACCTACCTATTTGATCATGGATGAGTGTTGAAAAGAAAGATCAATTAACTACTTCTTCGTGGCTGTTGTTCTACAAGGCACACCTATCTGAGTGGCCAGGATTAAGTATCTGGACCGGTCCATTTGACACTGCCCATTAACGCATTATCACCAAACACAACTCCAGTTTCATTCATTTGATTATTCTAATACACTGGAAATGAGAAAACAACAAAAGGGAGAAGAAGTAATAGATGTCCTCCTGCATAAGCGCCATTGTGCATCCAAAGTGGTAAGGCAACATGAAGAGAATCAAAGTCCGGCGGCGTAGACATCCTGGCATATTTCATGAGACGAAAAAGGGTCGTTGGTAGACAGAATATTGTTTTCTGTTAGTTTTGGGATGGAAGGCGTTGAAGAAGAAAATGAAAATGAAAGTAAAAAAAAAGTGGTCAATCCTGCTCGTGACATGTAATACGAATCGCCGGATTTTTTCTTTTTTTACAGGTTGAAGAACGAAAAAAACAGTCAAGGAAGAAGAGGAATTGGGAAGTTTTCAGAAACGATGGGGGAAAGGGCGTTTAAAAAAAAAGGCGAATGCGAGATGAAGATGTCAAAGTCATATGGAAACAATGATCGGCTAAACGTGACCCATTTACCATTCGAATTCACCCTGGCCTTTGTGGAAAACATATCTATACGAGATTAGTGCAAGCTCTCCACGTAAGGGAGGGTTAGGGAAACACTTACTCTTTACCGCCCGTCGTCAAAATGCCGTCCTTCAAAGTGCACTTCCATTTGTTCTTAACTCTTTGCACCTTGTCATAAGTACAAAGCATGACTTGACCAACGGAGTCTTCCGCATCATGGTCTTCCGCGACGAGGTCGTCAGGATCATCCAAATCAGAGTTGATGGCATCTTCGTCATCTTCTTCTTTTTCATCATCACCTCCGGGACCGTCGAACTGGGGCCGAGGGACCTTGGGGGCAGACGATAGTGCATCGCTGAATGAAGCCGGGTTAGGAGTTGATTCAACGGGCACCTCTCCACTAGGCGCAGATGCAACCGTGCGAGTGGATGCTTTGGGCTGTTTCTGCTGTTCATCCAGGGGCAACATGAGCCCACCTCCTTCCAGTCGAAGCATGCTAGCCTTGATTTGGTCTCGAAGGGTTCTATCACCTGCGCCACCCTGCCGCTCGGCGGCCCCTCGTCGGCGTGCGACCTCTGCCTTCCACTCGGAGAGCGCGTCGTCACCGGCACCATCCGTCTGAGTATTGTTAACAGGCGGCTGGGGCATAGGAGGGTATCCTGGTTCCTGTTTGATCTGCGGTCCTTGGCCGTTTGGTACCGGTGACATGCCTTGCGGACGGGACTGTCCTGGGAGACCCAGACCATGTTGCGATTGAGCCTGTAATTGACTGACCGAGTTGGCAGCAGCGGCACCGTATCTCTGATGAAGCATATTGGCTGCACGTTCGCGAGCTGATTGCGGGTTGGAAGAATTTGCCGGGATCATATTGTTCACCGAAGGCAAGTTAGGCGGAGCAGTGAGACCGGGTTCGGTCTTGATCTGAGGCGCCTGTGTCATCCCACCCGGAGGCACTCCGACGGGCGTGGGGGCTTGCAACGGCGGCGCAGTGCCCGGCATAGACTGCGGCATAGACTGCGGCATGGGTTGCTGAGGTGGAACATATTGTTGTTGTTGTTGCGGCGGTAGCGGCTGTTGCTGCTGGTGTGGCTGCGGCTGTTGGGTCTGAGGGGAGGGGCCAGGTCGAGGAGCATTGGAAGGGACGGTCGCGCTGGGAGGAGGAATTTGACTCTGAGGCTGAGGAGGGGCAGGCTGTGGAGGAGGATCCCAGGGGAAATGAGCGACCCCTAGGGAAGACAACTTTTTCTGCCAGCTCTGAGGGAGAGTCAGTATGGCAATCTGGACAAGTGAGGGCCAGGCTTGGCGGCAGACTAAGGAGCGGGTAAAGGCGGCCGCATATAAAAGAGACTCAAAAGCAGGCGCCTCCCCCAGAAGGCGGTTGCCGCCTCCCGCAACTCTCAGACCCCGCTTTGCCCAAGGGAGAGAGAGAGCGTCGATATACGCTCCATTTCATCCACTCACCTTGCGCAAATCCAGCAGCGTTTGCTGGTCCACTCCGCTTTCCTCGAAATCTATCTGAGAGGCATCGCAGACTTCCTGGATGACGCGATCGAACACCGTGCCCTGTGATTCACTTGATATTAGCCAACGTCCTCACACGAGAGAGGTCGAGAGGATGAAGTCCAAAATTGAAGCCAAAAGTTGAAGTGAAAAGCTAGGGAATCTGAATTGGAGAAAAACTTCTGCAGAATGGCAGAAGGAAAAAGAGACGGCTCCCCAGTCCAGACCATCCGGAGAAGCAGCTAGCTAAGTTGAGGGAGCACTCACCACCTGCTGGTTTGACATGGTTGCTATGGACTAGGGCTCGTAGTGACTTTCTTATCGGAGAATGCGATAGAGAAGCGAGGATGGAAATTGGTTTCTTGTCTCAGAAACAAAGGCACTCCGAGAGGAAGAACTTGTCCAGTCGAGGAGATGGCGATCGCGAGGGAAGATCCTCCGTCGCAGCGGTCGGTTGCCACGGGCGAATTGCGACGGGCTGCGGAGTCACCCCTGTGGTGAGATTGGTGTTGTAGATAGAGACTCCCACCAGCGGACGGACCAAGGAACAGACGGTACTAGGAATGGTTGATTGATCGCAAAAACAAATGAGAATCCGGGGGGGGGGGCGAGGACAGAGGCAGACGAGAGGAACGAAGCTGCGATGCAGAGGGATCGGTTGAGGTGAAAGTCGCTCTCCCCGGGCGAAATCCGTCTTCCTTCCGCCAGCTTAGTCACCACCCGCATTTTGCTAGGCTCATCGCAAGCTTATCGCGATAAGCCAGATGAACGGGATCCGTCCGTGTGAGTACTGTGTCTACTAGAGATCGGAGACTGTCGTGAAGTACGGAATCGTGTCTTCCACCCGACCAAAGAAAGAATTCACCAATCTGTGCATCAATGATTACTATTCTGTACAAGAATCTTCTCCCCCAGATACCAGTAACACTCTCACTAAATACAAACGCCGTTTCCTCATACAACGCCCTGCCAAAAATTCATATGACCCCAAAAACCCTGATCCTGTGAGATATCCAACAATTGCAAAAGAAAAAACCCGAAAAGTAAAAGAATCAACAGATTAACTTCATACGAGTAGCACATCATCTACCGGATGGTCATCGACTTGGTCATTTGGGCTTTACTGCCGACACCACCTTCGCGAGAAGCCGAGGCACTGGTCCCGGCCTTGCGTTCGAAGACCTTCCAGAATTTCAAGCTCTCGTCAGCCGCTGCAGTAGCAAGAAGCTGACCGTCGGGGCTCAGACAGCTGTGCAAAACACGAGTCTCGTGCGCAGGAATCTCGACATTGCGCACCAGGGTCGGGTAGCTCCAGATACTCAGAGAGTTGTCGGGGAATCCGCTGGAGCTGACGATCTCGCGGTAGTGGTTGCTCCACCGCAAGCTCGTGACTTGAGAGCCGGTGTCAATGCTGTTAGTCCGCGCACCGGTGGTCGTGTTCCAGAAGTGGATGTGGCGATCGTACGAACCACCGCCGGTAGCGAGCAAGTTCAGTTGCCAGGGGCACCAGCTGAGGGCCTTAACGGCGGCGCGGTGGTTTGTTTTGGTAAACTTGGGTGCGCTGAGCGACCGAGCATCCCAGATGTTGACCAGGTTGTCATTGCCACCGGTCGCAAGCTGCGCACCATCGGGCCTCCACTCCAGACCGCAAACTTCCGAAGTGTGCGAAACGAGCTCTGCCACCTTGTGTTGAGCAACGCGTACGTCGTGGTTAAACACTAGGCCGCTACGCGCACCAGTGGACAATGTGTGTTTCGACCATCCCATAACACCAACACGAGAGTCATGGCCAAACATACTTCGGAGCTTAGTGCCTTCTTCGACATCCCAGATTTGCACCTCACCAGTTCCAAGGCCAACGCCGACATAGGCCCCGTCACCACTCCATTTGACACTGCTCACATACGTATCGGGGGAAGTCTCCAGCAAGCAGTCCACGGACCCCGAGTCGGCCGACCAGACGTAAACATTGCGCTCCAAACCGATGGCGACTTGGTTACCAGAGCTCCAGTCCAGAAGGTTTAGGTAGTAGTCGTCAAGCAATCCAGGTGCATCCAGAACACGCTCAGGCGCCGTCTGAACTCGTCTCCGGAACTGAGCCGACTGGGATTTGGAGGGTCTTAGAGGACGGTTATACTGAGCTCTCAGATCGATGGGCTTGGAAGATTCTGGGGGCGGTGGCTTGAAGGCAAGGATCCGAGTGTTAAGGTTGACGCCACATGCATTGGCAAGAGATGATTCATATGCAACTGCGTCCGGTGCCGGTCTAGTATATGAGGTTGTCGAAGGCTCGGTCTCATCTAACCCGAGGTTCTCAAGGGCTGCAGTGAGGTCTTCGTCGGATCCTCGGCCACCAATATCAAACGCGCTGGCTGCACTGGCAAGAACAGAAGAACCCTCGTTGCCGCTCGTTTTCGGCCTGTGGCTCTCTTCAGGCTTAGCTGTGCCTGCCGTGGCGAGACCTTCGCTTGCAGTACGATTGGGAATGAATCGATCGGCGGCGTTGTGTGCAATGCGGACGGTGGTCTTTCCGGATCTTGTCCGAGTGGAGATGTCTTTCCGAAGACGCTCCTTGGACGGAGTCTGGGAAGACGATGGTCCAGTACCAGTCAAAGACCAATCCGAAACGCCCAGTTCCAAGTGTCGGGGAGACTTCCGCGTGCGAGCAATGTTAGACTTTGGCGACTCGCGGTAGGTAGTTCGGGGAGCCTTGGGCATGGACTTGGCGAAGAGGGAGGAAAGGTTACCGCCGTAGACAGGTCGGCTATGATCTTTTCCAGTCTCCGTGGGCTGACGAGGCGGTGTGAACGGAGATGAATGGTTTGACGTCATGCTTCCTGCTCGCGTACGGGGCGATGGTGTTAAAGGCATGCGGCCTCCGGCCGTTTTGCTCGAAAAGATGCCATGGTGGGTTTTCACCGGGGTAGACACCGTAGGGGTGGCCATGATAGTATATGATGAGGGTGCTCAGACCAGCCAGCCGGTATTCCGAGACGCAGAAAGAGAAAAGAGGAACGAGAATATCCAAGCCAATGATCGGGTGAACCTGACTCGAGGTGCAACAAGGGAGTAAGATGCAGCAATATAATGCTGTATACGAAAAACTGAGCCCGAATAGAGGCAATACAGTATGCACCAAATAGTATATACCACAGAAAATGAAGAGGATGAAGAGGAGAGGAAGAGATGGGAGGAGAGACGAGCAGGAAAGGAGAATAAATAGAGGGTATAGTTCTTCACTGGCATGGCAACGGTTACCTGAGGTACGGGTGCGCTAACTCCGACCCGGCTAGGTGACCACCTGACATGAGGCTCTGGTTCGTTCTGACGCCGATCGGCCTTGGCGCCTTTTTCTTTTTCTTTTTTCCCTCCTTTCCACTTCTCTTTGTCACCCATCTGGAATCATCAAGGCTGTCGGTCTTTGTGTTTCTACTTATCATGTGAATTCCTTCTCCTTCCTGGACGGCAAGTTCATTCACCAGCATCCAGTTTCATTCCACTCCTTAGGCCTTGTGGCTCTCACCCAACCCTCAGCCCATCAGGCACTTCTCCTTTCGGACCCTGATGGCGCGGCAACCAACCTCCACTACTAGGAATAGTAACGTTTCGGTGGTCTCGCATTTCCACTCGGACCCACCTTATTGGGCTGGGTCATCTGCGAGTAGAGTCCCACATCCGATGTCTCCCCTTTTATCCCACCATCAGAAATCGGAGCAGGCATTCCTCATGCCTACTAGCGCAACTCGTCGCCGGGGTAGCGCAGACTACCGCCCCAGCATAAATAAGGCCAAGGGGCATATTCCTGCATGTCTGGTCAACGCCTCGGTGACGTATTGCAACGACGATCAGATCTATGCCTTTGGCGGCTTTGATCAATACACAGATGAAGGTTCATTTGATTTACCCCTAGCGTGCCAGCCTATCTACCACTACTACCTTAACGTGTTGGCTGACATCCTGTCACAGTGTACAACCATGTCTTGAGACTCAACCTGGCCACTTTGCGATGGGAGCTGATTGACAATTATGGGGATATCCCTGGGGTTCGCATGGGTACGTCGCGTCCACAACTCATACTATGTTAAATCCATCAAATGCGTGCTAAAGATTCTTCTCGCTTGTTCAGGCCATACTGCCAATCTTCACAATGAAGACAAACTGATCGTATTCGGTGGAGAAAATGAACATCGCGAATACCTCTCGGACGTGGTTATTTTGGATATCCCTACATCCACTTGGCATCAACCGGAAATTCGTGGACCGATCCCGCGCGGAAGGGCTCGCCATGCTGCCGTCATCCATGATGATAAGCTTTTTATTATTGGAGGCGTTACCGGCGAGAGCAACGTCATCCTCGATGAGCTGTCATATCTCGACCTGAAGACTTGGACCTGGTCTCGTTCCTGGAGATTCACAGCTCGATTCGATCACATTGCCTGGGTCTGGGGCGACCGCCTGTGGATATTTGGGGGCCTAGATCCGGATATGGAGCGCACGACTGACATCTGGTGGCTCGATCTCAAAGGCATCCCCTCTCTCGGAATGACAGCTTCTCAAGGTACCGTGGATTCCCATGTTCAGCTCGGCAACATGACTCATAGCCCAGATGAAATGCCTAGTACCTCATCGCATCAACTAAGTGCTCGGTCCAACAACTATGCGGCCAATTCGGGAAGCGTCCAAGTTCGCAACTCCAACCGTCGGAAGCCGATTGCCCCCGGAGCAATCTCCTGCCTCAAATTCTCCTCCGGCCCTCACGTCCCTGCGCTGTTCTCCGGTACCCACTTCCAGGCCTATGCGTCCGGCGTTCTACTGGATTTGATCACCCCGTCGGAAACAGTGCGTACAGCCGAGTGCAACCTATCGTCTCTGGACCTTGACTCCTTGCGATGGCAGAGATTAGCCGACGGCCAAGAAATTTTCAATCCCGGATATCGCTGGCATTACTGCACCATAGATCCGAGCGGCACCAAAGCTTGGCTACTGGGCTGCAGTTTGGACGTTGGTGCGACCCCCGGAACCGGCGATGACAATCATATGATCGATGTTCTCTGTATAAACCTGGAAAAATATGGCTTACTAGGCAACGAGATGACGAAGTTCTCGCCGGACCAGAGCAGGACGATGTATCACGATCGTTCAGGGCTGGGGCCCATTTCTGGCCTTGGCTCGGACCTTTTGGCCGTATTCGACCAAACACCGGAATCTGGCAGTGGTGCTGACTTCATTATCACCGCTAACCCCGATGATCAGGATGATTTGGACGATCCAGGCCATCATGTTGTTCAGTCGCAATTGCAAACGGGATTGATTCCCCATGACGCGGCCTCGTCTCCCCCGATCCATGTCCATCGTCTTATCTTGCAGATTAGATGGCCGCATTTCAAAAGACTGTACTCGGCCCAGATGGCAGAGTATCACTCTAAGAGGATGCACATTCCCGAACCTTACTCTGTTGTCCGCGCGTTTCTCTACTACCTCTATACCGGCAGCATTTCGGGTCATCCGGAATATTGCCCTGACATTATCGACGTGGCGGGTATGCTCGTGATGGCGAACCTTTACGATTTGCCCACGTTGCGTCTTTTATGCGTCAACCGGCTGAGCCGCGAACTGGATGTCGAAAACGCCGCCATCATCTGGGAACGAGCTGGCAGGACGAATGAGGACTGGCTCAAGGGACGCGCAGCCCAGTTCTGCCTTAACCACTGGGGTCAAATCGTGCGGACCGATGGGTTTAAGTCCCTCAACCGGCAGAGTCTCATTGATTTATGTGGAGTTGTAGACTTGGAAAGCCGCATCGTCGGTGGATCAGAGCTAGAAGGGGCGCTCGAAGGCCACGGTCGAGAGCACAAGCCTTCCCAACTGACCATCCCTGGAACCGCGGCTGAAGAGGCCGATGAAATTGAGGTTGATGATATGGAGGCGATGGAAATGTCTTAGGCCTTGTGTGAAGCACTTGGCCGCTGTTCACTGACGGATCTGACTGCACGAAGTCATGGGTAGATGACCAAATTTCGTATTTCTTTGTTATTCTACTTTCTTCTTCTTTTTTTGCTCCTGTTTTTGATTCCGTGACTCCATCTCTCGCATAGCAAAGTGTGTTCATGGCGTTGGTATTGGATGGCGGGGAGTACATAGGGATGTGCGCACAGAACAGAGCATTGGTCACGGGGTTTTACGAGGGAGAATTGTAACTGCAGCTGTCTAGCCTTGAATCATGAACAGGTCCATTGCATTCCTTCGTATCTAACAATTAGTAATGGATCCTGTCTTGCCAGGCTAATCCGAATCTAGTCGGCAAGCGGCCCGTCCATCCGCACCTTTTCCTTTGGCTTTTGCCCCGCCAGGAACGAACGCTTTCTCTCGCGTCTTCATCTCGGCGTCGCTCTGGTCGTTGGTGGCTTTTCCATCCATGTCCGCTTCTCGATGCCCGGTCAAGTCCCCGCTTGCCCCTCCATTGTTCGATCCTGTTGCGGGGAGGCCCTAAAGCTGTCAGAAATCATTTAAATATCACTCTCATCCCCTCTCAGCATGCTGTCTTGGACTGGGTTCACAGATCAGCCTTTGAATCATTCTTCTATCTACTTTTCATTGTCTTTCACTTGAGGATCAATTGCTCAGTATCTGTGTCTCTAACTCCAGCAAACATGGGGTCCACCTCGACGTCTTCTCTTCCTTCTGACTTTCTCTGGGGATTCGCAACAGCTAGGTGGGTCGATTTATGCTGGATGGTCGTCTAATTCCTGCATCGCCCCTGCTGACAGGTCTTTCTCTGGAAAGTTACCAGATTGAGGGAGCTGTGGAGGAGGACGGACGTGGCCCATCCATCTGGGACACTTTCTGCAAGATTCCTGGAAAGATAGCCGGTGGTGCCACGGGAGATGTAGCGTGTGACTCGTACCAACGCACCCACGAGGACATTGCCTTGCTAAAGGAATGCGGTGCTCAGGCCTACCGCTTCTCCATCTCCTGGTAACATACCATTCCTTTCTCTCTTTCATCAAAGCCTTGGCCGGGCCTGTCTAAATCTAATACTCTCTTCCTCCATCCAGGTCTCGTATTATTCCCCTCGGAGGCCGGAACGACCCCGTCAATGAAAAAGGAATTCAGCACTATGTCAAATTCATTGACGAATTGCATGCCGCAGGCATTGTCCCTCTGGTGACTCTTTACCATTGGGATCTTCCCGATGAGTTGGACAAGCGTTACGGCGGTCTTCTCAACAAGGAGGAGTTCGTTGCCGACTTCGCCAACTATGCTCGGGTGATCTTCAAGGCTTTCGGTTCGAAGGTCAAGCACTGGATTACCTTCAATGAACCCTGGTGCAGTAGCATTCTTGGATACAACGTTGGACAATTTGCCCCGGGTAGGACGAGTGACAGGGCTAGAAACCCCGTGGGAGATGGCTCAACGGAACCCTGGATCGTCGGACATAACCTTCTCGTGGCGCACGGAAAGGCGGTGCAGATTTACAGGGACGAGTTCAAAGCCCAAGACGGCGGTGAGATTGGTATCACCCTGAATGGTAAGATATTGCCCCTATTGCATAACCTCTGGAGGTCAGCCATCCTGACCAATTACCAGGTGACTGGGCCGAACCCTGGGACCCCGAGAACCCGGCAGACGTCGAAGCGTGTGACCGAAAGATCGAATTCGCTATCTCCTGGTTTGCCGACCCGATCTACCACGGTAAATATCCCGACAGCATGGTCAAGCAACTGGGTGACCGACTGCCCAAGTGGACTCCCGAAGACATTGCCCTGGTCCACGGCAGCAACGACTTCTACGGCATGAACCACTACTGCGCCAACTACATCAAAGCGAAGACGGGTGAGGCTGACCCTAACGACACCGCGGGCAATCTGGAGATCCTGCTCCAAAACAAGAAAGGAGAGTGGGTTGGCCCCGAGACTCAGTCTCCCTGGCTTCGACCCAGTGCTATCGGATTCCGCAAGCTCCTCAAATGGCTCAGTGACCGATACAACCAGCCCAAGATCCTAGTCACGGAGAACGGAACCAGTCTGAAGAACGAGAACGATCTGCCTTTGAACCAGCTCCTCAAGGACGAGTTCCGGACACAGTACTTCCGTGATTACATTGCAGCCATGGCCGACGCGTACACTTTGGACGGCGTCAATGTGAGAGGATACATGGCCTGGAGTTTGATGGAGTACGTTCTGCCTTTCATTTACCTGGGAGTCCCACCCTTTTACTAACCGGTAATAATTGCAGCAATTTCGAATGGGCCGAAGGCTACGAGACCCGGTTCGGCGTGACCTTCGTCGACTACGAAAACAACCAGAAGAGAATCCCCAAGGAAAGCGCAAAGGCGATCGGTCCGATCTTCGAGCAATATATCCAGAAGGAATAAACAATCAAGCGATGGAGGGCATCTACCTAGGCAGTAGCCATTGTATTACCTTAGTTTATATCAATTCTCTTAAATTCTCCAATTAACATGAACTTACGACGAAGCAAACTTCTCTTCCAAGGTAACTATGCGGTAAAGAGCATCATCCCACAAATGCTGCTTGTACATGTGTACGGAGTAGATGATTCCAATTACTTTCCCATCCCCGACCCTCCGTTCTCCACTCCACATTCTACTAGATTTAGTCTCCAAAGTGGACACTTCGATCTCGCTTTAGCCTCTTTTGACGCGGCGGAGTCTCCGCGACACGGATCGCGCCTCCGTAGACTAGATGATATCTCATTGCCTCGTGTGTCATTAAGAACTGCCAGTAGCCTGTTATCAACCCAGAAATCTCTACGTAGTTATAGTTTGTGCTCATCAAATAGAAACCATTTGTGTTGCCCATCGTATGAGAGTTTTCAAGAAAGAACCATCAATTATCAGACAACACAGACTTATTCCAAGACATGTATCAGTGTGAAAAAGGATCCCTCGTGCTTGCTAGTTGCTGTCTTGAACAGAAGCTTTTAACATGCGCGGCATAAACCCAGCCCGTCATTATAGGAAATGGGAACCCCCCTCGGTGATAACAATCCCACGGTTTATGATCTGATGCGTCTGTAAACCCATTAGAATCTCTACAGTATCTGTTCGAGTAATCGTTACCTCGTTCTCGTCGATTCCAATTCGCGAGGGGTTGTGTACCGGAACAGATCCGTAAAATGCACGATGGGCTCTTCGCCGTCTTCCACAATTGGGGGTTTCGTTCGTTGCTGGGGGCTGATACCAATCAGACGATGTATTAAGCTCTAGGGCGCCAATGGTCTCATCTATATCTGAAGTATAATCGTTCGGGGTACCGTAGGTTTCGTTGGCCGTGCCCATTCTGTCCCCTTCCGCCGATTGACTGGACTCCCAGTGCACATTGGAATGTTCAGCGGTCGTAGTTCCGTTCGTGAAAGTGTCTGTTGGAAGTGGAGTACTGGTTCCGGAATCTTCAGCATTCGCAACTACTGAAGAAGTCTCATCGATGGAAGAAGCCCCAGCTTGGCTGGATTGGACGCGAGAAGCAAAAAGCTTGAGACTTCTGTCAGCACGTTCAAAACATAATATGGGCTGCGAGACATACGTCTGGGCATAGACCCATCAACCTGTCATACCACTGATATGTATTCGGGTGGCTGAAATGCGAAATTTCTCGAATTTCCGGATTTACCGCCGATGCGATCTGACGGGCAACGAAAGCAGAAATCGCTGCTTCCCGGTAATGACGCCCTCCTACAGCGCAAATTCGTTAGCTTATCAACATTATCCGCCAACTATGAAAGCTGCTAGTCTTACCTTCGAATGTCCGTACATTGTCTGCGAGGATCACAACATCTTCGCTGTCTTTGTACATCCTGTACAGATCCCAAGTGTCTTTGAGCAAGCACTGGTTCAACGAATCGTGAACGACCGACATTGTGAATGTGCCTTTGAAGCAGCCGCTTGAATGAAACTTCTGCATCATTTGGCGATGGGTCAAGTAGGTTAGCTTCGGGGTGGAAACTCTCCAAGGTGGGCGTTTATGGTTGCTGCTTACCTTTGTGGCTCTTCCAAAACGCACGAATGTACAAAGTACTCTTCGTCTAGTATTATGACGTAGATATCGTAGGCTGTAGAAAAGAGCTCGAAAGCTTTGGAGAAATGAAATTAAGAGCAAAGGAGATGAAATGTTGGGGATAGAAATGGAACGGCTTTGATGAGAGCAGGCGAAGCGTGGCGTACAATGACCAGCTATGAGATAAGCTTTCAAAATGGCTTCAGAAACGATAATTTATTGTTACCAGATAGTTGAGAGGGAGTAAGAATGAAGGAGATCAATGATATGGGTTGGGCATGGGAAGAGGAAAGAGGAAGAGGAGGAGGAAGGGGGAAAGAGGTATATATAGCCCACGTCTGTAAACAGACCCACGAAAACTATGGAGACTTCCATCTCTCAAAGTGGAAAGGAACCGATAAAAGTGAGTAAAATAAGCAGTCACCAGGATAAGCTCAATGATTAATTGCCAGCAAGCAGATTCCATTATAGTTGTCAGCAAACGTATCCAACCAAGCAAACAGTTAATTAGTCATCGTACCAAACATGCGCTCTTATGAATATCAAAGCGCATATCGAAAGTTCATAGACTCCCTATCTGTGATATCCTTAAACCCATCCAGCACAGCTGCTTGATCACGCCTTTGTTCCATTTCCTCTGGAGACATGCGGCGATCTCGGCGGATGTTCTCAAACTTCATCGACATGTATGCAACAACAGATAGGACAATGATCCCCGCATAGCAAATCAGCAGACCAGTAAGAGCGGAGTAATATCGGGGGGCCTCGCGCTCAAAGAAGATGTTTGCACCTGCGACATTTCCGGCCGCGTATAGAACAAACCAAAGTCCGTTTGAAAGAGAGCGTTTGGTATGTCCGGCTACGTTTGTAGACAGAATATTCCAAGACACGATCACCGGGGCACCAACGATATACTGTAGCCAGGTGCAGCCGACGAGGGTCCATCGATGTTGGACATCAGTGAAGCGGATGCCAAGGAGGCCGCCAAAGGGAATCAAACAGACGACCGCGAGGACGATGCACCGGGAATCCCGGACATAGGTGGAAACGAGTCCGCAAATCGGCACTACGAGAGCCTCTATGGCTCCTGTGGGTAGCTGGAGAAGGGTAGCGTAGATTCCGCTGAAGCCATAGCCTTTGATCAAGGACGATGAGAAGTTGGACACTCCGCCGTTGATGACGCCGCAGCTGAGACCTATGAAGGCACAGCAAAGGACTTTGATATCGTATACTATCTCAAACGCCTGTTGTGGTTTTATCTGTTTTGTCTTGATGCCGATCATATTCTCTGATACTCGCTGGACGGCCACTATACGTTGTCTGTGCGAGAGAAACCTCGCCGAACTCGGGGAGTCCGGCATGAGCCACAGAAAGAAGCATCCGGTGACAAAGTTAAGCAGACCAATGGTGAGAAAGATTAACTGCCAGCTCTTCAGGCTAGTATTATGGGAATGACCGAGTCCGAATCCCAGCAGAGCACCCACCATGGTCGCCATTCCGTTTCCCGACAGCCACAAGCTCATCCGCAGAGGTTGCTCGGATCGCTTGTAGAACATGGACGTGAAATTCATCACTATATTTCTTTAGTACTGACTCAATTCAATGGTCCACGGAGTATCGCAAACTTACTACATGGGCTGACACCAGCCTCGGTCATTCCCAAAAGAAACCGTAGGACCAAAATGCCAGCGTAGTTCTTCGCTCCAATGTGCGCCACAATTAGGACGGCCCAGATCAAAAGGACTGTTCCCATATATTTAGCCAGCGGTAGTCGTTGAATCATCAGATTTGAGGGCTAGAGTGACGATACATTTAGTTCTTCACTCCAATGAAAAGGATATTTCTCCTATTCACATACCACGGCCCAGAACATGTATCCGAAATTGAATATGGCTGCAACCCATGAATATCTTTGACCCTCCAGGCCAAGATCCGGAATGAAGCTATAAGCCGAGGCATAGTTGAGAGAAAGCTTGTCTGTGGCAATTACTAGGTCAGTCAAAGATCATTAAATTAGGGCTTGTTGTCCACCTACCCAAGAATTGTATGACATATGTCACGTACAGCTGATATTTCGTACGTCAGTTGTCTCCCGACGGGAATCTACAACGCGAAGGAGTAGTTATCGCTTACAATAGGCAAGATACGCCAGTCTAAAAGCCTGCGTACCTCAGTGCCTTCGCGTTCCAGCTCCTCGGGCGATAGCTGATCAGCCTCGGCATACAGCTCAGCTGCGATGTCCCGGATTTCCCCCGATGCGAACTCATCTTTCCTGTCGGCACTAAGGGTGCTCTGCGCTTCCGTTCTGTTGTCTTTAGTAGTAATGTCGGGCATGATGACCAAAATTCGAAAGAGCTTGAACAAAATTGACCGGGTCTAGGGGCAGTTCTTAAGTAGGGATGACCATCCCCCACCCTTGCATGATAGTAGATCAGTGTTATCTCTTGGCAGTTATGCTACCCTTATCGACTCCGCACGAGGGGCGAGTGGATAAAAGTCCGCTGGGATCATAATAGATACTATCAATATTTATTCTTATCTACTATCGGCATACATTACAAACTCGGACATTCCAAACATCTACATGAGTTACAGACCTTTACAAGCAACATTCTACAATTCTTAGGGGAGTATGATTACCAATTTCTTTCCTCTAGTCAGAAATAACCTGATATTCATCACTATCGAGTCTTAGTCTGGGTAGGACTTATCTATACACGCAATTAACTAAGACAGCCAGGGAAAGAGCTATTAGCAACCATTAACCAAATTAAATTCAATATTCATTCCCATAGTCTGGCTAATATTCTCTTCACTACCTACCTATTCACAGTCTACCAGGTTAAAAGGCTTTCTCCCATCCTCCGCCCCTTCTCCCACTTATCCTATCTCACATCGACTAGGATTCAACAGCACAGTATACGAATCTTTCCGCAACGTGTCCCTGAGAGAATCGATCAAAAAAGCATAAGCCCGGCAATATCAAACATCATGCCATATTCCGATGCCTGATCATGCCGAATCCAAGAACGCAGAGAAACCTGTGAACAATGAATCAGATACCAAATAAGTATCGATCGAATTTTTCGAAAGGTGTACTATTTTCTTTTCATATTTCTTTTGTTAATTAATTAATAAGGATGACGGCTTCTAGGACAGAGGCAGGTTGGAACAGATTCTCGAGGATATAGATAAACTTGCCAATTTTGATTAGTCTATGCTCTACAACAGGTATGACTTCTATTCTTCGAACATACAATAAAAAGTGGCATCCAGCGATAAGACTGATTCCTGATATGTATATCTAATCTTATTCTTCGAAGTTTGTTCAATGTGAAAACTGGCTACGGAACTGTTCCTCTCTGTGCGGGCAAGCCCAAATCCACGATATACTGCCAGATTTCGGGGTCATTAGACGGCGAATTGCCTTCTGAGGCTTCCGGTCGGAATCGTGACGGACAGAACACATCTTCTGTCTATCTTATGCACCAAGATGGCCAAACTTAAAGCAAGCCCCGATGCACGTCGCTCTTTGGAATGAAATCGATATTTCATCCGGTCATCCCATGCTAGGGGCAATTGAGGCTGACTTGGTGTACTTTATTATCCATCTTGGCTATTTGATTAATTCAATTAATTCTCGAAGTGAGTCGAAAAAGAAAAATGGGTTTGGTTTCTGAATGCCTGAGGTTGCACGCATTCGCCATTTGCCCACTCCCCCATGACCATTTTATGTACGCAGCATTAGAAACTTCTTCCTCGTAAACCGTCTTCTTCATCATCTTCTCTAGTTGAAACAATTGAATTCGTTCATTTGGTCATCATCGACAGCCAGAACCTATGACCCTATATTACAAATGTGACGCCATATCTTCAATCATACTTAGTACCCCATTGTGTAAATATGGCTTTTTCAACTGTTTCAGACAATACCCAAATTCATCGCGAGTACAAGCAGAGCCCAGCTGCTCTAAAAGGTCCTGCGAAACCCACTTCGCCTGTCGAAGAAGAAAGCTAAACACTCTAATATAGGGCGTCGCATCGTCCCATCGTTCTGCGAAGTAAAACAGCGTACTTGCACAGGTCCGAGATGCAATGAACGCTTGTCGCTTGAATATGCCATCTCGACAGTCAACCCAAAACGTGTACAGAAGCATAATACCGGCCATGAATTGAAAAACAAGTTTTGGATAGGGTCAGAACACACAACACCCTTGAAAGTCTTGACGGAATCAAAACTCACCGCGGACCAAGTATAGCACATCACCTGTCCATCTTCCAGGAGACGTCTAAAATTACGAAAGTTCTCGCTGCTTGCTGAGAGAACGTCTTCAAAATCCTCATGTTGCAGACGATGCCGCCTTTCTAGTATCAGGATGATCACACTGTAACTGTATAGGCTTGCCATCAGAGCGGATGAAGATAGGTACTCGGATTATCCTCTACGCCGTATCGTGGCATATCCCTTTTCCACGCATCCAGAGCGGACTTCAGGAGCGAGTCACTGGCATCTTGGCTTGGGGGGGAGTCCTCTCGTTGTCGACGGATTTTGGCTTGGATTTTCCGCAGGCTGAACAGGTGTCTCAAGGCGCGGTTTGTGCTAGAAGAACAAGGCAGTTCGTTGCTCAATGTATAAATCTGGAGGCTTGTCAGCTACGGTCCGTTGTTCTTTGTCGACAGCGTTCATACATCATCATCAATGGCCCTATAGGCTGCTGATACTGGCCTATCCCATCCACAAACAATAATCTCGTTTAGCATATAACATGTGATAAATAGGGGCTCCGTGAGTGTGTTATCCACTCCCTGTCCGGCTTCATCTCGAACATTATGATCATCTCCCACGTCAGAAGTTTGCTTTCGTAATTCAGACATGGTGGCAGCACAGAATGGGACAATCGAGGATACCGTAACAGCGATCTCTTCTGATGAGGGACAATGAAGCGAGTATAGTATCATCAGGATTGAAGCTTCGATATGAAGAACCGCAGACGAATGCCCCATGAAATACGGATAATAAGTCATTGCAGATGTGTAGAGATCTGCTGCACGTGTCGCATAACCCTGGTCTGGATGAAGTCCGTTGTTTAACAAAGCCCCAATGGCATACACCATATATACGAAGAATCCTTTCCATCGCTCAGCGTCTTCGTCATGTATCCATTCATGATGCCACGATCGCCAGGCATTATGGTTCAAAAATGGCCATACCCAATTCGTGATCTTGAGGTAGAGGCTGGTGTAGACTTCCTCTAGCAAAGGTGGGTGAGTCCTGGAAGGGATAAGAGACTCAGGCGATTTACTTTCTGTCCATGGAGAGTTTCCAATGCTTGCTGACCTAGGGTACATTTCGTATGCAACTCGGGATATTAGAGGTGCCTCCAGTGGTTGAGCTCCCGGATGAGAAGCGGCTGGAAGTATATCAGTCCCGGGCGTCAATGTATGTGTTGTATCAAACGGAAGAGGCGAACAGGGCTCCAGAATTGAATCCATTTCTTGCGATACCATGCCAGAATTCGCAGTGTCACCAGTTAATATAGTATCCAGGTCGTTAGATATGGGCATATGCGGAGGATCGGCGCTAGCAATATTAATTGGGTCCGTCTGAACACCAATATCCCGTACGTGCAGGGAGGTGCTGGAGGCATCGTCCTTTGACCTCTCCAATTCTGCCAATCTGGTTTCGAGATGCTTCAGATATTTTACAGAAACCGTTATATCTTCCCCATCTTTGTATGATTTTGCGGGGAGACATTCGGTTCCTCTGCGTCTGCACTCTCCACATGTGGGCTTCACATGGTCACATCTGCGCTTGAGGCGAAAACATCGAGCGCATGCTAACGATCTCGGAGTTTGGGGACTCGAAGACATAGGTCAACCGAACTATGCGCGGATGAGTAATTGAGCTCCAGTAAAAATAGAAAGCCACGATGATAGAGAAAGAGAAAGAGGAGAAACAGATAAGAGAAGCAGCTAACTAAGGAAGAAAGACCCCGAGACCCACATCGACGGGGAGTCAAGCGGGGAGTTTAGCGTCGAGTTGCTGGAATGGATTCAGATTTGAGACAGGTAAAAAGATATCGTACAAATTATTCATTAACAATCAATGTAAGCAGTAATTATTCATGATGCGCCGCAATCATACCGTACTCTCTAGACACCAAAGACTGAATCAATCTTTAGCCCACCTCTGACCATCTTTATCGTACCCGATCAGCTTCAAATCAACATTCAATGTCTTCAGCATGAAGTCCATAGTAAATTCCTGTAAATCTTGTTAGAACCGCTGCACATTGCTCACAAGGCCAAGCAAACAAACCTCTTCCTCAATAGATTCCTCCCGTTTCTTATCCTCGACCTCCTTCCCAGGAACATCCCATTGCTCCAACATCTCCGCCTTTCGAGACTTCAGTGCCTCCTCGTCGATATCGACCCCTTCGGCTTCAGCACACCCATACCACGAATTCATCTCCTCCTGCTCCCATCTCGCATTGTTATTCCGCATCTGATCTTTCCACGCCTTCATACCCCCAAGCCGAGTCACGCGTTCCTGCGCACCCGCAAACACCTCCTCCGCTGCATTCTGACTTGCGCATTTCCATTTCGCGATCAATCCCTCCAGCTCGGTGTCTTTATCCGAGGATTCGACCCGGAGAGCCTGTCGCGCTGTGTCCAGTTCCGAACGCAGCGCCGAAAGCCGTGATTGGAGCGTTCTTTGCTGTCTCTGGAGCTCTGTAATCTCTGGGTCCAGGAGGACTGGCTTCTTAGTTGGCGTTAGGTGAGTGATGGTGGTGTTCTTCCTTTTGCGATTCAGTGAGCCCAGAGGTGATGAAGTACTAGATGATGACGAGTTGATGGATGCGATGGATGAAATTGTGGTTGAGGTTGCAGGTTGCTCCTGTATCTTTCTGGATGAATGAACTTCGTTTGCTTGATGTGCAGGCGAGGAGATATGTTTTGTGATTGTGGGTGATGATTCGTCTTTGGCCTCCGATGTCTGCGCTGGTCGACGGAGGGGAGATTTGAATGGCTTTGAAAGCGCCGAGGTCGCGTGTTCGGCGCGACGACGCTTCTCATTGAGCTTCTCGGATCCCATCGTTCTATGAAATCGGCTTATATTCTCGGCTGCATCGTATCAGAAGTGATAAACGATTAGCAGTCGCATGGAAGGACAAGGGTGGACTGTCGAGATGAAACCGTTGGAAAACCAGGCCGCTTATCGATAACGCGTGACTGACACCTGAGGCATCGACTACTGAGACTATACGATTGCAGCATGAAATTCAAAGCAAATTCTCATAAAATACACCATATACAAAATCATATGAAAAACCACTGTAGCCCATCTAATGCCCTACGCCACCAGCTACCCATTGAGCGAATTCGGGCTCTCCAGGCCGGGGAAAGAGCCCTCGATCATTCCCATTAGCCGCAGCCGCTGGGTTCGCGCCTCCATTCTCGTTCTGCCTGTCTCGGTTCCGTTGCCATCGAATGTATACGAGCACGGCTAATGCTACCATCAAGCCCATCATTATGAGACCTTCCAAAACAGCGTCGTCGATGTCCATTTCCAAGTCGTCATAATAGCCATCTTGGTGACGATCGTGCCGAGACTCTGTGCCCGTAGATAGCAGGTCCTCTTCGTCGTCTTCTGCCCTCTTGTACATCTGTGCTCGGTACTCGGCCTCCTCTTCTGCATCGTTCTCGACAAAGGCTGCAACCCACTCCTTGAATGTTCGGCGAGGGCGGGGCTCTGTCATCGTGGTCAACAAGGATTCATAAGATTACACGTATGGCCAGGACCTACCATCATCTTCCTGGATAGAATTGATCTTGCCATTCGTGATACGATTCCAGTAGCTCCGCAGGCGGAGTTTGAGCAGACTCAACTTCACCGGTAAATAGGATTCAGAGCTTGTTTCAAGAGCTAGATCATAATAACGTTTTGCCATGTGGAAATCCTGGTCCACAGCAACTCCGTTTTCATGCATCCAACCGAGGTTCCAATAGGCCTGCGCACTGTAGTGAGCCTCCGCGGCCGTGTGATAGCAGGTCGAAGCTTTCTCGGCGTCCGCGAGTATACCACTCCCACTGAGGTAATAGTCGCCCATTTTGATGAGAGAGTCGATGTTAGCTTGTTTAGCGGACCGAGTCCAGTAAATGAGAGCCAAGGCAGCGTTCCGGAGCAAAGGCGACCGGCTCTTCTTGAGGCCAGGCAGGATTGAATCGAATGACACCAAAGAGCGCTGTTCGTCTAGCAAAAATGCCACATTAGACTGCGCGTTTTCGTAGCCTTGCTCTGCAGCCATCATGGCAGCGACAAGTGCCCGGTCTTTGTCACCGTTTTCGTAGGCGGCATTAGATTCGGCAAAGGATGAATGGATCGCCTCTGCCCGCTCTGCAACCATCTTGTAGTATGAAGCGGCCATTCCGCAGTGTCTTTGTCGGCCGACGCCGTTGTTAGATAATTCGGCTAGATAATAGAAAGCTTCCATCCATCCCCAGCGCGCGGCCAGCTCGAAGTACCGAGTAGCGGTAGGAATGTCACCCTGGTCCAAGAATAAAGCACCGAGTCTTGTTTCGGCTGCCGGAAGGTCTTGGTCGGCCGCGGCTTTGAAATAAGAAGAGGCCTTGAATGCGTCCTGAGGAACGCCGTATCCATGAAGATACATAATCCCAAGCTCATGTTGGCAGAGTGCATCCCCGTTACCCAATCCAAGCTTGAACCAATAACCCGCAGTTGCATAGTTTTGCTCCACGCCCTCACCACGAAGCAACATCAAGCCAATGTGCCCTGCCGCTTTCGCAGCCAATTTCTCAATTCCAAGAGGATGATTCGGGTTGACGGATCCGTCTTTGTTCCAATACCGTTTGGTGATCTGCTTAAAGTACTTCATCGCCTTTCGAAAGTTTCTAGGCAAGCCTCGGGCGCCTTCATAATGCATCTTTCCCAGACTGAAAGTGGCCTTCAGCTCACCCTTCCGGGACATAAGATCCAAGTATTCCAAAACATCTTCCAAGCTAGCGTCGGTGCTGGCATGGGAATCGCGAAGCGCATTTGGTCCCGAGCTTGATACGCTGGCACCCTCACCATACACACCACCTTCTTCGTCTGCCCAGCGGAATGATTCGCGAACCATGCTTTGACCGCCTGGTGGGCCAGATCGGTAGTACTGAATTGCCTTATCCGCCACCTGTTTGTAGTAGTACGTAGCCTCATCGCAGTTTCTGGCGGTCCCAATTCCAGCATGATGCCGGTATGCAAGGGTCATCTGCGATTTCGTGTTTCCAGCGTCGGCCGCAAAGGTATGGTACAGCATCGCCTTCGCTTGGTCGCGTTCCACACCGCCACCTATCCCTGTCGCATACATAAAGCCAATCATATACTGTGCCGTATTGTTTCCGGTCAAGGACGCCAGTTTCTGGTACCAATAGAACGCCTGTTTGAAGTCCCGGGGGTGAGTGAAGTTGCCGTGGAAGTTCATTTCCGCTAGTAGAAACATCGCGTCGGCATTTTGGTTCTCTGTAGCTATCGTCAACTCATTCACCGCTTTGGCGAGATTCGGATGGATCTTCTGTCGAGCAGCATTCTCGGGCTGCGGTCCGTTCAAGAACAGTACGCGGAAAGCCTGTTGGGTGTAGTGTAATCCGTATCCGATAAGGCCAGATGGTTTTTCGTTCGGTACGACGGAGATCTTGGAGTCACGAAGGATCGTAAGTGCGGCGTTTACGTGTTCTAATCGTAAATAATCGCTTGACTGTCAGTCCCGTGTCCCAATGGGTGTACTAAAGCCATAAGCCAGGATCAACTCACCATTCCCCGGTTGGGCGTCATATCCTGTTTGGGAAGATCGTTTGGGTGATTCATGAGTAGCATCTTGTAGTGGAATATCGGTCTGTCCCTTAGACTCCACCACATAGGCCTGCAGTAGCACTGGTTAACAGACGAACAATGTCAGCTTCCTCGTCGCGTCATCGACTCCTAGCAGCAGTAGCAGCGGGGGCACTCACGGAACACTAAGGGCAGAAAGCGCCATAACCATAGGTTCCTCATCGTGAGTTCGAGATATCAGATGAATGCAGTAATAAGCGGCACATGGCGACTCAGTCCTGAATTAGAACGTCATCAAGGGCCGATTTATGTGCCTGGTTAAGTCGGCGGGGACCGGAGATGTCCTCTAAGTGGTCCCGAGCACGCTTGAGCGGATCGGGCCACCTGTCCAAGCGGAGGTTCGTTTCCCCGATTCCTGGGCGGCTGACAAACCACCGGCCCTAACTACGGTGATCTACTACCACCACTACTTAGTACATAGTTACGAACAACACGGTGCTTCATCAGATCTTTTCATTTTTTTTATCTTTTTTTTATCTTTTTTTTATAACATTTTCATCTTCTCGGTCCATAATCCATCGGTGCAACCTGTATACAGGAAATAAAAGAAAAGAAAAAAGAAACAAAGAAAAGAAAAAAGGACCACATCATTAATACACTCGCGAATAGCAGTTGCCCTCCATGCAAATCCAGGGAAACAACAAAGTCCAAGCAAAAATCAACGAGCCTGTCCCTAGAACATGGGGAGGTCAATCGCGCGGCTCTTCAAATTCTAAAAACGCTTGGTATTTCCATGTTCTGAAGAGAAAAGAAATCATGCATCACCAGCCAACAAGTTTCGGTCACAATTTCGGCCGGGGTTTTTTCAAAGACTAAAGGAAATAAATCCATGGGGCTAAAAACGTGGAAAGCGTACATTCAGGGGGGAAAGAAAAACGAAGGCTGCAGACGCCCAAATAGTAGAAGAAATAACCAACCAATTCCGCGCATAAGATGCAAAATGTGCTCTCTCTCTTTTTTTTTTTTTTTTTTTTGTGTGTGTTTTGAGGTTTGAAGGTTGTCCTGATATGCAGGTGGTAGTACATTGATACAGAAAAGGGTTGTCAGCCTTCAAGATTTCCAGCTCACTGACGGGGCGAACTAAAGGATATGTAAGTACACGGGTTCATTTGACCATGACAGGGTGGAAGACTTACGAAGGACTGAAGCTCGGCGACGTCGGACTGTAACCAGGAGAGACTCCTCCGGGAGAAGTCGGCGAGCCGGAAAAGTTGGGCGATGTAGGAGAATACGTCTGGGGACTCGTGGGAGACCATCCGGGTGAAGTAGGTGTGTATTTGGGAGACGTAGGTGAGGTAGGTGAAAGATGTCGACCGGCACCACCAATTGCAGGACTGGTAGGACTATAGCTCGGTGACGTGGGACTAAACGCAGGCGAGGCGGGACTGAAGTTTGGCGACGTCGGGCTGTAATTGGGCGACGTAGGCGAGAAGCCTGGCGAAGTTGGTGAGTATGACGGTGAGGTTGGCGACGCCTGGCCATAGGCAGGAGACGTGGGCGAGTAGGCCGGCGACGTTGGTGCAAACGACGGACTAGCAGGAGAAAATCCCGGAGACGTCATGAAGCGAGGGCTGGTAATACCCATGCCAGGGGACGTAGGAGAGTAGCTTGAAGTAGGTGAATAGCCAGGGGATGTCGGGTTTGCACTGAACGGACTACTCGGGGAATAGCCAGCAGGGCTCGTGGGCGCAGGGCTGAATCCACCGAAACCACCGCTGGGTTGGTACTCAGTGAATCCACCAGGAGTCTCAGCGCCGGCTTGGCGGATAGGAGAGAAGTTCGATTCCGGATCAGGGGTACCAATGTAGGAGTTCTCTTGCATGGGTGACCCAGTGTCATACTGGGTTGCAGCACCATCATTGATGATTGCGTCCTTAGCGCCAATAGCACCCATAACACCAAAGCGAGCATTGTTCGATACAACGGTGTTGAGCAAGCTCTGATCAAGATAGATGTCGAACTCTCCAGTACCCGCAGGTGCCATCTGTCCCAAAATCAAATTCTCGGAAACACCACGGCAGTCATCCAGTTCACCGAAAGCGGCCGCTTCTAACAGAATTTCCACGGTCTCTTCGAAAGAGCAGCGCATCAGTGCACCATTGTCGGCACGGTTGATACCGTGACGAGTGACAGGAGTCAGATAGCCTCGCACGGTCATGACGTCGACAAGCAACGCCAGGTGACGGTGGTTGACATACGAACCGTCAAAGGCAAGCACCTGCGTCAACTCGCGAAGAACGGCGGTACGAGCAGCCTCGATACCAAAGACTTCAAAAACTTCAATAAACTGGTTGGAGTACGTGCGACTGGCATCGACGCCTGGAATGGCCAAAACCGCACCGAGAGATGAGCCACTGGTTTCGAGAACCCATTCTTTGCATTTAGGGTCACTCTTGCTGGTGAACAATGAACCATCTTCAAGAACACGGATCTTGTTCTTTTCGTTAATGAACGCGCGTTCGACGCCATCAACGCCTCGAAGAGTAAGGGTGTCCAGGAGATGCTGCTCCAGTTTCTTGAGTGTAACATCGTACTCGATGTCCTCGTCATCATCATCCTCCTTGTTGTCTTGAATCTGCCGGATTCGAATGACTTGCTCATCTGCGTTGTTATCACTGAAAATTACAGCGATATCCTTGGGGTACGCTTGCTTAATCCTAGCTGCAACATCTTGCACAGTAAGACCTTTGTCAAGAAGTTGCGGTCGGTTCAAAATGATACGGAGCAACCATTTCGACTGGCGGGAAGAATCGTCCGTAACATCCTCGGGGATAATGAAGTAGGACTCCACCATATCCCTATCATTCTCGATGACAGTAGTTTGGATGTCCGGATCATAGTAAATCTCCGTGGCTTCAGTAACAGACCGCAGGCTAGTGTGCTCAACAGCACTTCGTAGCTGCTTAGCGCCCTCCTTGTCACCAGATTTGTGGGGCTCTTGGTAAACAGTCATAGACGGCGTCTTGATGTTGGTGGCGACATTCAGAATTTCCTTCAGACGGGGAACACCAAGTGTGACGTTCTTGGATGACACACCAGCAAAGTGGAAGGTGTTAAGAGTCATCTGCGTAGCCGGTTCACCAATTGACTGAGCAGCCAAAACACCAACCATTTCACCAGGGCTGGCAGCAGCTCTGGCAAATCGACTCTCGATGGCACCAATCACATGCTGGAAGGCCAGTTTGTTCAAGGAATACTCCGTGACCAGTCTGCGGAATGCAAGACGACTGCGGAGCTGCGCCTTGAACAACAGGGTGGCATTCTCCTGAGCTTCTTGCGAAATATCGTCATCTCCCCGTACAATCAACAACCGATCAAGCAAAGATTGCACTTGTGGGACAACATCCGCTGGGTGCAAGTCGCTGATCGTTCCTTCGCGGATTCTGAATGTAGTTCTGGCAGTCTCAAGGATACGCTGCACGTTGATGGGAAGCTGCATCATCTCCTCGTCTTCCTTGGCGACAGTCCGGAGGAAGGCCCGGTCCTTCAGAAGTCGCTCCCACTCCTCATCCAAATATCTTTGAACATCCACGTCACCTGCAATCTCATTGGCCTGCTCCAAGACATCAGGCCCAAGGCTGCGCTCAGGGTCCATGAGATCAACACGGAAACGATCTCTGAACTTGTCATCAGAGCATTTAATGATATCGACTCGCTGGTTTTCAATGTGAGCACCGTCCAGACCGTCTTCTCCGTACACAAACTGAATGATATCTCCCATACTGTTTCGGACAGTACCATCATACTTGACCATGACCTCTTCCAAGGCTTTAACCAGTTTTCGCTGGATATAACCTGTTTCGGCCGTTTTGACGGCAGTATCGATAAGACCCTCGCGACCAGCCATGGCGTGGAAGAAGAATTCAGTCGGTGTCAGACCTCGCAGGTATGAGTTCTCCACGAAACCACGAGATTCAGGCGAATAGTCGTCCTTCGTGAAATGGGGCAACGTACGATACTTGAACCCGAAAGGAATACGTTTGCCTTCCACGGACTGTTGACCCACGACCGCAGTCATCTGAGAGATATTGATGGTTGAACCCTTTGATCCAGAGCGAGCCATCTGGATGGCATTGTTCAAATCCTTCAAACTCTTTTCTGTTTCGCTACCGGCTTCATCACGAGCGTTGTTGAGAGCACGCGAGACCTTACTCTCGAAAGTTTCTCGCACGTTCATACCGGGCAACGCTTCAAGGGTATTCGCCGTTGCACTTTCAGTGATCTCGTCGACCTCTTGCTTCCTGGCACGCACACAATTTTCGATTCTCTGGATCGTGAGAGCGTCCGGAATAGTGTCACCAATACCGATACTGAAACCATTATGTAACAGCCAATAGTTGACGATTGTTTGAGCTCCATTGAAGAAGGACACAGCAGTGGGTGGTCCATACTCATTGAAGATGGTGTGAATAACACCGCCACCGCTGGCTCCAACAGTCTTCTTGGAAAGCATTCCATACAACAACTGTCCACCATGAATCAGGACACCACCATCGTTCAGAGGTGAAAACTTCTCTGAGAGGGGCGAGCTGTCCTTATCAATACGCAGAAGGTTGAGACCAGGAGGAAGAGCCATGCTGATCATCTGCTTTCCAGTCCATCTGGGCCTAGGCTTCAAGATGGCCGGAGGCGGAATAACACCATCCCAGTCAGGTACCCACATCATAATGTTCATCACTTGGTCCTTAGTCAAAAACGCATCACGACGGCAAATTTTGTAAATACCACAGAGCGTGTCCTGCACGATACCCATCAGCGGTCCGTTTCGCTGTGGTGACACAATGTTGCATGGGACCAGTGCAAGCTCGCTAAGTTCGGCTCGCGATTCCTCACTCTGAGGAACGTGCAAGTTCATTTCATCACCATCAAAATCGGCGTTGTAGGGAGTTGTAACAGACAAATTAAGTCGGAACGTTGAGTACGGCATGACACGAACGCGATGACCCATCATAGATTCCTTGTGCAGAGAGGGCTGTCGATTAAAAAGAATAACATCGCCATCCATGACGTGACGTTCGACTTTCCAGCCGTAGAGCAGTTGCTGACCTCCGGCCCGTTTAGCGTGACGCAAATCAATGCGCTCGCCGTTATCTCGAACAATATACCGTGCTCCGGGGTGCTCATTAGGACCATTGCTAACCAGATTCTGCAGCTTCTCGATGTTGTAAGGAGTAACAACCTCGGGATACGTCAGGGTTCTCGCGATACTCTTGGGAACACCGACCTCGTCCAGAGACAAGTTGGGGTCACCAGTAATAACTGTACGCGCGGAAAAGTCCACACGCTTACCCATTAAGTTCTGTCTCAGACGACCTTCCTTACCCTTCAGACGACTGCGAATAGCTTTGACCGGTCGGTTCGATTTCTGCATGGCCTTCGGTTGACCAGCAATATCGTTGTCCATATAAGTAGCGACATGGTACTGCAGTAGCGACTCGAATTCACGCACCACGTGCTCCGGGGCACCTTCCTGCTCACAGCGCTGGACATTCTGGTTTGCGCGCACAATTTCAGCCAATTTGTAAGTCAAATCATCCTCACCACGCTGGCCACTTGTGCTACCACCCACAAGCACACTAGGACGGACAGGGGGAGGCGGGACCGGCAAGACGGTGACAACCATCCACTCCGGGCGGGCATAGTCGTTGCTCAGCCCCATGATGCGAACATCTTCATGGGAGATGGTGCGAAACACATTCAGTGCCACTGTTGGGGTGATGGTTTTCTTTTCCGGCTGCGCCATGTCCATGTCATCGTCCATCATGCTCTTGTTAGGCTTCCATGTTCCAACCAAGCTGATGCCTTCTTTCCGAATCTGGGGCTGGGCATTCCCACACCCGCCATGGTTTCTCGTGGGCTTCGAGGCTTCTTTCGAAAACGGGTCGTCGTCCTCAGGTTGGTCGGCCTGACATATCAAAACATCCTTGGACAGGCGCCAGATGTTGTCGAATCGTCGTTTCGGATCTCTCATACGCAGGGCTTCTAGGAATTTGGGGTCGGACTGGCTCTAGGTCAGCAATGCCATCTATAGTCTTGCCATCCCGTAAGGGATGACTAACCGTATTGGCTTTGATCTTTCCACAGTTGTGGCAGACCGTCTCGAGTAGCTTCTTGATCTTAGTCAAAAAACCTAAACAAAGAAAGTGTCAGCACGAATACCCAAACGATTATATCCAGTGCTTGTTTCAGAAATGAACAAGTAACATACCGATATGGAAAACTGGAGTGGCAAGTTCGATATGCCCGAAGTGTCCGGGACATTCTTTTTGGCCTTCCTCACAAGTTTCACAATTCCATTGCCGATCGATTGTTCCTAAGCGAGGATCATTTAGACCCTTTGTCCGGGGGCGCTGTCGTTGCTCATCCTGGTGTTTTCATGTCCCATTAGCATCCCGGATGGTATAGTGACCGACAGACAAAGAAAAGAGACTCACCATCGTCTCCGGGTATTCCACATGTACCACACTCATCCGCTTGAGTTCCTCGGGGGCGAAGAGACCAAACTGGATCTCCTTGATGGTGCGCAAAGGCGCCTTGGAGTAGGGGAAAAACACGTTCGACATGATGACAGTCGGTCACGGAGATGCGTTGCTCGAGAGATAAGACGGTGGCAGGTCACGTATCGCAAAGAAACGGGCGATGCGAAAGAAAGAAAATCGCGAATAATCAGTCCAAGGAGTCGATGGGATTAACTCTCAAATGTGCAAAAGCGACAGTTGAGGAGTTTGCGAAGCAGCTGGCCGGCTGAGGCCTTGGGCAGCCCTTGCCACGAGGGCGCCTGCGACCTTATCCACCGACGTCGCGAACTCGAAAAAGAGCGAAGGAAAAAAGGGCCACGATCGATGGAGGCGAATCGTCCAACTGAAAGAGTGATATCGCGATGCGAAACGCGATGGTCGGGGGCGTTGGGCGATGGGAAAGCAGCGTGTCGAGGTGATGAAAGGGAGATGGTTGGACGTCAGGTCGGTGGTCGATGGGGCACGAGTTTTCTGAGCCGCAACCCGGCACTAGCGCGGTGGCAATTAAAAGACGTCCATGCCAAGACCCATACCTTGGCAGACGGCTGTGACCGATAGCTGAGCATCAATCAGACCGAGTGATAAGGGAAGGCGGTGGATCCTTCCCTTCACCGTTTAGAGGCCCTCTGACCGCCCGGCAGCCCCAGGTTCCAACCTTCCAGAATTCATCAGATTCACCTGCCAACCATGAATCTCCCCGCCTGCAGGCATTCGCAGTAGCGTCCCTGTTGCACTGGATGATTGTTCTCAGCCAGTCATCCTGGCCTTCTTTCTGGGCTAGGATCCTACGGTGATCTTTCAGGTTCTCCCTCTTCGTCTTCCCCTTACCTCCTTGTTACTATTCCTGTCACTTTCTTTGACGGCGCAACCTCTTTATTCGGCGCAATGAATCTCTCCCTTATTGATCCCTTTGTCCTGGCTCAGGACTACCCGGACACCCTAACAGAGAAACTGAGTATGGATCCTTTTTCCTTTTTGGCAATAGCGCCCAATCACTAACAGCTTCAGGAAGCGGTCATGCGACGTCATTACGCTTCAATCGCAGGGGCGACTATCTAGCCTCCGGACGAGTATGTCTCCCCATCGATATCCACCAACCTCATCCCACCTACGAAATATTGACCCATAATGTTAGGTAGACGGTATCGTGGTGATTTTCGACATCGAAACAAATGGAGTGGCGCGAAAATTACGGGGTCACACTAGACAGATCCAATCGCTCAGGTATATATTTCGCCGTTATTTTTACGATTGCGCAAAGGCTCACTTCAATCCGTATAAAGTTGGTCTAGGGATGGTCGTTACCTTCTAAGCTCCTCACAAGATTGGAAGTGCATCCTCTGGGATCTGAAAGACGGGTCAAGGGTGCGCACCGTCCGGTTCGAAGCTCCTGTGTACATTGCCGAACTACATCCTTACAACCAGTAAGTTGTTGCGATCATTGCTTAGGTCCTGGCATTCGAAATCGCATTGCATACTAACGACCTCTCGTCCTCTAGCTTGTTATTTGTCGCCTCTCTATTCGAAGAGCAGCCAGTGCTTGTCGATGTCTCATCTCCCAAACCCATCAAGCGCATCCTTCCCTCCGCTCCGTTCCGCCCCAAGTCCGAAGAAGTTGACCCCGCCGTGGCCGCAAAGCAAGCAGCCCAGGATGCAAAGCACTCGACCTGCGTGACCATCTTCACTGCGCTAGGAAATCATATTATCGCTGGGACTTCTAAGGGCTGGATCAATATCATCGAGACTCAAACCTGCACCACCATTCACTCCTCGCGGCTCTGCAACGGCTTAGTGACTCTTATACGCCTCTCCAGTAACGGACGAGATATCTTAATCAACAGCTCCGATCGAGTCATTCGCACGATCCTCATGCCCGATCTCTCCCAGCTCGGCATTGATCTCGAACTCGCCAGCATCAAGCTACAAGTCGAGCATAAATTCCAAGACGTCGTCAACCGCCTCAGCTGGAACCACGTCACCTTCTCATCCACCAGCGAATTTGTCACCGCTTCTACCTACATGAACCCCGACATCTACGTGTGGGAACGCAGCCACGGCTCCCTGGTCAAGATACTCGAAGGGCCGCGAGAAGAGCTCGGCGTCGTGGAATGGCACCCCCATCGACCCATGGTCGTCGCCTGCGGTCTTGAATCCGGACATATCTACACCTGGTCCATCGTGACGCCGCAGAAATGGTCCGCCCTAGCACCTGATTTCGGCGAAGTTGAAGAAAACGTCGAGTACGTCGAACGCGAAGACGAATTCGACGTCCATCCGGCCGAAGAGATCCACAAACGTCGTCTCGACCAGGAAGACGAAGTCCCTGACGTCCTGACCATCGACTCCCAGAAGAGCGACGCAGACGAGGAGATTGATTCCTTCCGAATGCCTATCCTCCTGGACATCTCCGATAGCGAGAGCGAAGAGGATATCGTGGCCGTGGGACCGGGGACCATGCGTCGACGCAGCCCTGGTGCCAATCGCGAGTGGATGAACAACGACGGCGATAAGGACTCAACTGCGGGTGGTGGGAGAAACGGGACCGGCAGAGGGGGGAGGGAGCGGCGTCGATGAACTCCCCGATCTAACTTTAATTTCCGTTCTATTCATCTGTCTTACTATCAATCTCTTTGGGCTCATCATCTAGGGAAGGAAAGTTTATATTATCATTTAGACCGTTGGGATTTGAATTCGGGGGTTTTTTCTTTTCTTCGGTCGTTGTTGGAAGGTCATGCATGAGGTTATGAGCGTTTCTGGTGACGATTGTCATATCTTGGAAGTACCTATCTATACCCAATACCACAGTATCTGATACTTGATTACAAGTCATTGCGCGGAGTAGCAGCAATCAATATATCAAGTAAGTGCCTACTTTTAAGAACCAACTGATGAAACTCAAAAAATGAATTTGGTTCTGTAGCCAATATGAATAATATTTTTGATGAAGCTTTGTTATAGTCTTTAGAAAGAAAAAAGAAAGAATAGAAGAAAAAGAAAACTGGTCTGAACTATACAGCCACCAGCAAGAGATCTCAAACCTAAGATACCAGTAGATATCAGATATGAACGGGGAGGCATGAGAGGCCACCTGACAAGAAAATGCAGGTATTCCCCATATCCTGGATCTCCCGGCCATACGGCAAAAGCTAGTCCCGATAGGTGTTCTAAGGGGAGATGCGATGATTTATCCTTGCATTTGCCTTCATCTATCAAGACCTCGACTCCGACTTCAACTTCACAATAACCATTACCTTTAGGATAGGTCAACTAGTGTAATTTGAAGAAGGTAGCCGCAAAATTCGACGGAATGCAGCAGCACTGGCATGGCGTAATGCAATGTGGACGATTGTCGCGGCATGACTTGCAATGCTACCATCCCCGAAGGAGCATGAAACAGAGTATGAACAGAGTACTGTTCGGGTTTTGACTAGCGGTCGTGCTAATTTTCCGCAAGACTGCTACCGTTATTCTGAAGATCGTGGTGCGGCCAGGGATGATCAATGCGCAAATACACAATCATTTACCCCAGCCCGTACGAGAGGGGTGAGACTCGGGTGCAAAATCGCTCCTCAGAGGCAAGGGATCGATCTCCAGCCGCAGTGATCTACACTGCTCACCCAGGAGCGGAGAAAAACAATCGGGAGGGGAGTGAAATACTTTGTTTCATCGACTCGTCAACCCTGGCGCGAGTATTGACACTGGCGTATCCTGACCGGTGCCTGTCTGTCTCGCGCGGCTTGTAAGCTGCCGATCAGTTGTTCGGGGGTTTCCGCGCCTGGTATATGTGTAGAATGTTGTAGGCGTGGATTTCCTTGTTGAAGGCTTCTGATTTCACGTCGGCAGCAATACGCTGGATTTTATCCAAATCCCAGCCAAAGACTCGGCTAAACGGGGCCAGGCTGAGAGACTCAATGCTCTCGGAGATGGCCAAGTTGTACCATCGAGCAACCTTCCTCTCGTGTTCATCCTGGTGCCATGGGTTCAAAGGTAGCCCGACCATTTGGTGATCGATTTCCGTAAACCCGGCCTCCTGAAGGTCTTTGATGGTATCGCGAGAATTGTGTGCTATTGGGCGCATGGTGTCTTGTGTGGCCTGTTTTAGGAGCTGGTACCATTGGCGCAAAGCCAGCCCTTCTAGCGGGCGGTCGTCACACCGAGGTTCGAAATCAATTTCTACCTGCTCGAACCAAGCACCCGCCCGTAGATGGGAAAATATTCTCCGGTACAGGTTCGGCCAGCCTATCACGCTACCACAGCCCATTTGCAGATGGATGAGGTCCCACGATTCCTCTCCCAGGGTCCAGCGACTCTCGAAATCGAATGGCGCGTAGAATTCGCAGTTGGGCGGCTTATTGGGTGGTTGTATAGGAGCAAGGTCAACGCCCACGACAAAGCCTTCGGGGTATTTGTTGGCCACATCAATCGACCAGATCCCAGTCCCGCATCCCAGGTCCAAAAACCGGCCATCTCTCGGATGAGGAGCATAAATCAACCCATCCGAGACACGCGCCACGGTGAACAGTTTGTGGAAGATGTCAAGGCGATCTTGTTCCTGCTCATCGCAAGGCAGCTGGTAAACTCCTCGGCGAAAACCATGGTAGGTGCGTCCGTTCTCTTCATGGAAAGGCGGTTTCTCGGAGCTCCTATAATCGCAAAGAAATCGATCAGGGATCGCACATTAGCCGTCCAATGATCCCAAGCTTACTTATATTAATGGGCAAGGCTGCGGGGGGAAACGGCAAGTGGGGGACGCGATCACAAGGCAAGACTGTAAGGAAATCAGAGAGAAATACTTGCTATAAGTAGAGTTCATGCTCGGTGACCCATTGCGATTCCAAGAGCTATAACCAGACGCTTCCTCTCTCGCAGCATCCCTATCGGTGATCATATAGATGTCCATTGCGTCCGAATTGTTTCTCGAACGGTTCGCATCCGTCGTTTGGGAGTAGAAGTGATTCTGAGGCGGGGAAGCCATCGCGAGAGGTCGCCGTTCGACTTGACCGTTCCCAAACATCACGGAAGGCACAAAACGAGATCTTGTCGGGAAAGAAACTATCTCGCTTGTTTGGAGAGAGGTGGGGGATGGTGCCCGGGCGAGAAGGTGGCGGGTTGATGTCAGTATCGCGGAAGTCGGTGGAGCAGATATATGGAATATAGACCAGACGACAGGCAGAACATAGAGCAGGACAGCTCGTGGGAGTGCAAAGAAAAGATATAATGGGGCATAAATCCCGAGAATAGTCCGGTACTGGTTTGCGAAATGATACTGTTCGCCGTACGAGAGGTTGAAGAGGTCAGTCAGGGTATTGGCCCGCCACAGGGCATAGAAATAGAAATAGTAATAAAAAGAAAAAAAAAAAAAGAACGAGTCAAAATAAAAATGGAGGCGACTTGCAGCAGATCACACTTTTGAATGCACCTAGCTGGGCCAGAACTGAATCATGGGAAGATTGCCAACCACGACCAGAGAGAGGCAATGGGCAAGAAAATAAATAATCCCGAAAATTCAAAACCAGGAAAATGAGAAAAATAAAGAAGTGGAAAGATAATGAAATAAACAGGCGCCGTGCTACTTCCCCCGCGATGATCGAAGTTCAGCCAAACAAGAAAAAAAAAAAAAGTAGCGGTCACGGCACGGAGACCTACTGGACGCGAGCAATGACAGATGGAGCTTAATCAACCTTGGTTCGCAGGGCGAGCCGCAGTGGTATCAATTGCAAGAAAGGCGCCCAACAGGGAAAGTGGAGGGGGGAAAGGGAGGAGTCAAGTAATGGAAGATTTGCCTAGGGAAAGGGAAGAGGGAAGGTAGATGAAGCGAAGTAGGTCACGGCCAAAAATGGAAGGAAAGCAGGGTGGAGAGGATTGTTCACCAGGACGAGACCCTCCAAAAGAAATGAATAAAATAAATAAAACAATTAATATCCCCAATAATGAGTAATAATAAATAAAAATAATAAAAATAATGGAGGGCTTTTCTTTAAGGTTGCTGCAGCCGCTGTCTTGTCCCCGTTGGGTCCACGGGCGCGAAGGCGGGGCGGTTAGGGGGCCTGAGGCGCTGAGAATCAGCCTTTCCACGAGCGATTGATAATGAGTTCCGGTTAAGACGACCGGGGGGGAGATGCGGATTCCAGAAAAAAGGGGTAGGTGCGAGGTGAGCAAAACAAAGGAACACGCACAAGCCGGGATGGTCGACAAGACACTCGGTACTAGCAATGGATATATATGTGTCCTGGCTCACTGGGCGCCGGCTGTCCAACAATCGAAGTATTACACGGACTGGCTTGGTTGACTTACTTACTCGGTTGCGCTAGCGTACCATCATCCAGCTTACACTTGGGTATTCATCTGGTTCATTGGCTCAATAGACTCATGGAAGCCCCTCCATCAACCATGGTTGCGGGTTTGTCCGTCACTAGATAGTAGTAGGATGTTTACATGGATACATGGATCACCATCATCTACTGCTACTGGTGTTTAGTTGCTCGCGCTGATGACTGAAGGAGTCAGCGAGGGACCACCTCAGCGGAGAGATTTTTTTAATGATGTAAGAAGGTACTTGACGGTGACGTCCATCTACTTCGCCATCCAGCTATAGTGCCCGATATTATTGGGTATCTGATACATGCGGTACCTGTACGGATGCGTGTGGGAAGCCCGGAGGCGTGCCGGGATGCATGGATATTAGTAGTAGGTGCTGGTAGGATAGCGGCGATGCTGCCGGCTACTCCGTAAAAGCCACATGTCGAGAGAAAAAAACAAATTTTATTTATCTATTTTGGTCTAAAAGAAAAGAAGAGGGGGTTGAGAAAAAGAAAGAAAAGAGAAAAAAAAGAAAAAGCCCTAAAAATCACCCACCCGAGTCTTCGGGCCCTCGCACCATTTTACGAGTCCAATGATCGATCAAGAATAAAGTGGCGGTAAAGGATTGGACTGGATCGAATTTGGTCGGGCCAGCAGCGATAACCTTTCGCAGAATAAATTAAAGGATTATTTTGACTTTGTCTCCTGAACTCGACTGAAACCTCCCGACTAATCAGGAGGGGTTGGTTGAGCCACTCGCAATTAGGACAGTCGATGTATGTTCTTAATGGGTAGACGATCTAGATAGTCCAGGACAATGATTATTCATGGAGAGTACGGAGTGAGGTGAGTTAGATTCTCCATTGTCCAATGCTCATACAATGAGTGCCTTGGTTTAGAACAAACAGGTAAACATGACAGGGAATGCACCAAAAATAAAAAATATAGCCAACAGCTACATTAAGTTTAGCCCCAACTATTAATATTCATACCCCCCCCAAGCGGTTGTAATTTCAGTATATTTTTTTACTATTCTTTCACCTGAGTCTATCTCATTTTATCTTCTGTCCTTTTTTTTTTGGCATTTAGTTCGTAAATACCTACGGAGAAGCCTCCAGAGACTGAAAGAAGGAGGGGCACGACCAGAAGGAAGAAAAAGAAAATTAAATGGATGGGTCCAAAGCCAACTACAAAAGAAGTGACTTCCGGGCGGGATGCGGTCCGCCTCCCACACTTAATTAAATGATTCAACCTTTTTCCCCCCCTCACCCTTTAGTCTCCAGTTCTCTACCCTTTGTCCTCCGTCCGTTCCCCTCCTTCGCCCTGCCCTGCTTGGGCCGCTAACGTAAGATTCTAGGTACATACCTAGCTGCTAGTAGTTGCTGCCCGCATTTTCAGGCAGCCAGCGTCAGGCAGCGGTACCAACGCAGTGGTTTGCAGGATTCGAAGCTTCGGGCGTGGCCCCCTTCGAGCGTTCCCCCCGTAGTGTCCGAGGAGCAAACCAAAGACGACCCCAGCCCTCCATTTCCGCAGGGTCACTAATCACGGCATTGCGTGCAGCCGCTTCGAAGTGGATCGGTTCGTTTCGGATTATGGAGCTATGCAAGGTCTGGCGTCGAAGGCATCTCCAACTCTCCATACTAAGCAACGTCACGGAGACAACTCATAACTATAACTAGTAACTTACACCGAAGTAAGTGACATCGTCTCGAGCCCAGGTCCCCACGGTTATACGAGCGTTGCCTCGTTAAGTTACCATCTACAGAGGATTTCCACCTCCTCTGCAACCGACAGACTCGCGTTGTTACCTTGAGTACCCTCATTTCTTCACCAAGCCCACATGGTCGGTCGACGGTGTCCGAGTAACTTCGGACGGCAGCTCGACCCGCTAATCCTCCACGCGCCGTCCTAGACCCCGACCAAGGTTGAGCGATCTTCACTTGATGATTGACATTTGACAGGCTGTCCGACCGAAGTAACTTCGCGCCGAACTCTTTTTAGTATGATATCAATTCGGACGGACCGAGGACGTGCATCAACTATCATCTACTGGGCCATCATCTGCCCCTCAGATGACGCCCGTGTTCAGTGTTGGGAACTTGGGAAGTTTGGGGGAGCCTGGCTAGCGATCCTTCCGTTCTGTAGGCTCCCTTCCCTTCCCCCTCCCATCATTAGTACGAAATGTATGGCCCTGCCTGTGATTCACTGGTTTGTCTCAATAATGATCGGGCTGATCATTTCACCGCTTCCCAGATTCCTGGGTCGAGCATGATGCATAAGATTTATTTTTGCTCCATGCATCCTACAGTACTCCCCTGTACTCCGTGGCTGACAGACTCACCTCTAAGTCCGCGTCCGTGTCCGATCTTCTAGGTAGTATTGTATACTTCCAGTCAATTTTCAATTTTCTATATCTTTGGAATTTACATCTCCCTTCAAAAAATCTTTACACTTATCTGTCCCCTTTTGATGCGATATGAAAACAAACATATCGGGCGTATTGATTGACCGATCGACTAACCGTTAATTGGCCGGTTCTCTCCGTGATCTTGGAAGGATCCATAATTTCCAAAGACTCCATCGTCCATACTGAATTTCATTTCGTTTTCGGCGGTGAGGAATATTATTCCGGACGAGGAGCTACTACCAATGGGGTTATGCCTATTAAGGCACCTCCTACATAATCCTGGGTAGAAAATAGATTAATGCCCATATTTCGGCGCTGCGAAAATTTTACTTGAACAAGTAATCATGACGATGATGACAGTCAATGAACCAGACGTATTTCCTCCCCTTAGATCTGGCCACGATATAAACCTCAGTATCCTATCACGGTCGTCTAGCCCAGAACCATTGGATGACAAGGTCCCCCGAATCCCGGTCTAATATGTAACTAAGAAAGGGGCGAGGACTTACCTAATCCCCGTCCACGGCGTAGGGTGTAATTAGTTGGAGTTGGAGTCGACTTCTTCTCTTCTCCCTGCTCTCAATCTTCTATAGCTCTCTAACCCTGTGAGGGATTTACCCGATCCAAATCACTCCCCTGTCTTCCTTGCAGCCGTGAACCTCTTTACCAGCCCCCCTTTTCCTCTCCTCTCAAGAATGCCACCAAGGAATGGTTCTGTGGAACAAGACCTGCAGCTGACCTGCGCCGTCCTTTCGCCTACCGTCCTTGCTTGTTGCCTTCTACTCCGTATACAGTATGACTCGCTCTTATCAAAACCGATTGTCTCCACCGCGCTGACCGGATATATCTACCGCGCGACTGTTCCCCACTTTCATTCGCCGGCGTCTCGCCAGTCCTGCTTCTCAACCATGGTCTTCCCTCTCTCTAGACTCTCAACCAGCTAGGAAGATTAATTTTGAGACGCCCCCCTCTTCTCGCCAACATCGCTGAAGTTCGGTACCATATCATCAATCGTGGATAAGCGCTTTCTACCCAACGCCGCCCCTCCCATCCCGTTTCACCAGGTGGTCGATCGACTGCCTGCCAGCACGACACAAGACATCTTGAGGTGTCTGGACTCTGGACCTACATGACTCGCGGGAGAACCATGGTCGATGTTTGGCGCCGGCCCGAACCATGAAATAAAACGAGACACCGGTCCCTGGGGGTGACGGCGCAATGACAAGTCATCAATAGACACCATCCTTCATTCGAAGCTAATCTCACATCCACTCGATTCACGGTTATCCCATTAGTGCCCGGAGAGTTTCCTTTTTCCCGGCCAGATAAAAGATTCTCCCTCGGACTGACACGTCGCACAACGCTTCTATAAAACCATTTGACCGAAAAAAAAAATTCCACCTTCCAAATGAAGGATTGGATAAAAAAAGGTGGGGGGAAGCGTACCTAATCAAACGATTATCACCGAGTAGATCATGCGAAACCTTCCAGGTTTTATATTCTTGGGGAAACCAACTTAGACTCCGATGCAGCCACTAAGTTGTGCCATGAGCAGGTACAGAGATGCTCCTGCGCTGGTTGCATAAGGGGGAACCAATCCGCTGTCATCCCTGCGACGAAAACCCATTATTGGTCGCCTGAGCAGGAAGGATGCCTCCGCTTCAGCGGTGGACTAGGATTGACCCTCTAGGCTGCTATTGGCCATGGTTGCTTCGAATCCTTAGTAACAACGGTGCGTCCCTGGCTCCTCCTGGGAGGGCAGTCGAAACAGCCCCGGCCCTTTTGCGGCAGTGCACATGCAGCTAATGAGGTGCTGTGCTCCGTAGGCAGGTATCCCAGCTGCTGTCAATTCGCCTGCTTTCTCTTCCTCTCTCTCTTTTCATTTTTTATCTTTTATTTTCCCACCGGGGCTCCACCTTGCTTATAACGCTGCGAATAGACTTCTGCGGCCATCGACCATTTCAGCCTCTGATTCATATTAGTCGTTGGTGCTCCATTCAGAGGTCATCATCTTACTTTGATCCTTTATCCCTCTGTTTTTATTATTTGCATTATTTTTAATTTTAATTTTTTTTTCTTTCTTCTTTTCGGGATAGTTCCCCTCCCTCCATCGGCTGATCGGACCAAGAAATGGATACTCAACCATTCCTATTGTCCAACCAAAGGTCAGGGGTCGAGTTGCCCTATCACCTGCATTACTCGGCTCATCCTGGTGAAAACTCATCGTTCTAATCTGGCAAGGCTTCGACCGAATTCTCTACCGGTTCTTTTGTGAGGCAACTAGCAGCGAGCATTCGGTATGTCATGTGCGATCCCCGCATCACGAGGGCGTCCTCGGCGACTGATAGGGGGGTGATGATATCAACAATCGACGAGCCCCTGCAGTACACAGCTACCCATTCATCAATCATGACAAGGTAGATCTGCACAGCATGAGACTTCCCCTGGTGGTGCCTACGGAGTCCAAGCACCCCCCCCCCCCCCAGTAGTACATGTGTTGATCAAATCCAACGGCCTCCTGTCTCAGGCTAAAGTGGGGATGCGCGGAAGCCCTGGCCAGAAGGTGGAAAAAAGCCTTGAATGGTTGCAGTTCCGAGTTTTCACGGTCTAGACGGATGCTCGATCGGTTGTTATCGTCTCAAGGCGCACTCTTCGATCTATCCATCGTTGATCATCTGATGGGGGGACCTCCCCCTTCTCTGGATGGACCTGTATATTCGTTCGGTTGGGAAGGGATAAACCAACAGTTTTGGATTGTAAGATCATAATGGCGTTCGTATAATCTGTTTCGCATTGGTCTGTCGCAGCTTTTATTACCTGATTTTTGTTTATTTGGATTTTTGTTTGGGTTTTTCTTTTCGTGGCTGTCATCCATGGGAAAAGTACAGTACAAGGATTTGGGGGATGGCAACTAGGCGTTGGTGAGCCCCAAGAATCAGGCAGCAAGGCCGCGGTAAGGCCTCAAAAGGAAAGCAGAAAAAAGGAAAGGAAATTCTTGGCTTCCGCCGCTCCGGATATCCTGGAAGTATCAACTCTCTCCAAGGCAATCAAGGACAGCAAAAAGTAAAGAAAAAGAAAAAGACAAAAAAAAGAAGCGGCTCGGTTCAAGATCAGCGACCGTCTATCATCTCTTGGGATCACACCGTTCCATCATCCCTATTGGAAACAGCCACGTCAAAAGGAACCAAAGTCAGAGACGCAAAAGATTGAGGCTACGGAGGCTTCCCGTGCACACCCTCGGCTTGATATCGAATTCCCCGTCAAGCCACACCGCAGCGACGACAAACAATTGTCAACTCGCTTTTCCACCAAGTAAATCTTGTATTAGACGGTCCAGTCCAGGGGCTCTCTATCTATTTGAGGCTGAGGCCTAATCCTTCTGTCGTTCATCCTATCGGAGGGGTGTGTCCATCCACCACGGGAGTTTTTCCTTTTTTTTTTTTTTTTTTTTTTTTTTTTCCCTTTCCCCATTTTCTTTTTTCCTTGTCCTTTCTGACCAGGCGATCACAGGCTAGTTAGCCATGCATACGCTAAAAGCTACGGCCTCCTCCTCGCTCTCCCTTGCGGAGGGCAGTTACATCTACTCCCTTGAGGCGTCATCTCCAGTTTCATTTGCCACTATTTCGTCCGATAACTCTCTCCGCACCTTCGACGCTGCTAGTCTGAACCATGTATCTCTAGTGGCTACGGACATCCACCAGGGAGTAACTTCATTGAAGTCCTATGATGACAACCAGCAGTTACTGGCCACCGGGGGAAGAGATGGAAAAGTGAAGCTCTGGGATTTACGGACGGGCAAGAAAGCGGCCGTGGCTGGGATGGAGACTTGTAGGCATCCCTCTATTTCCTTTTTTTTTTTTTCATGTTTTTGTGCTTGCTATTTTTTTCGGGGGTGGATAGCATCATTTGGAGTCGCCATCTCCAACCCCTCATTTCCACAATGTCGAATTCCGGGATGAATCTACTATCATGCATGTTTGTGATGAGTTGTTGTCCAACTCTCGAAGTTTAATTTCTTAGTTGAAATGCACGGCATCCGATGATTACATGCTGACTTTCGACTGCCGCAGCAAACCAAGCCCCTGTTTTGTCCATCGCTTGCTGCGCCGCAACTAACAGTCTGGTTGCTGGAACCGAGCTTAAGTCGTCCCAGGCGATTGTTGCATTCTGGTACGTCCTGGCCCTGGGATTTTCACCTGTTCATGATGAACCTGGTCAGGTCGATTCGCTGTCAGGCAAAGATTTCGTGGATGGGCATCAACATCCCGTCCTTTTTTTTTTTTTTTTCTCTCCCTCCAACCTCCCCCTCTTCTGACTTCCTGCCTTTTACCATTATTTGGATCCTGCGAGCTGCTAACTGACGCAACAGGGATGTCAGATCACCCGGCCAATACTCACTCCAATATGTTGAGAGCCACAATGACGACGTAACTGAGGTGCGTTGTACTTGCACCTCCTGATTTAGATTAACCCCCAAAGAACAAGGGAACTCCCCTACAACACATGCCAGTTCACCAAGCTAACGACGATCGACTGGGGGGAATGATTGGGTAGCTTCAATATCATCCCACGCAAAAGAACCTCCTGCTGTCCGGAAGCACGGACGGCCTCGTCAATGTTTACAACACCACCATCGCCGATGAAGACGATGCCCTGGTGCAAGTCATCAACCATGGCTCCGTGCACCACGCCGGCTTCCTTACCGAGCGGGCGATCTACGCGCTCAGCCACGACGAGGTCTTCTCGATCCACCCGGCCACGGACCCAGATGAGCAGGCGCAGGAGCCCGAACCCGTCCAGTTTGGGAACTTGAGAGAACCGCTTGGCTGCGAGTACGTCGCTCAGCTGTGCATTGGCAGTCAGGGTTCCTACGTCGCTGCTGGCAGTACGAGGTGCGTTCAGCCAGCCCATTTTCATGACTTTCCCCCTTTTTTTTTTTTTCCTGCCTGGCTCTTGGCCTGTATGATGCATGTGCTAACGAACGACGTCAGCCAACAACGCCTGGACTTGGTTCCTCTGTCGGCTAGCCCGTCATGGCAGTTCAACCGGGAGAACCTGTGGCGTCTTCCGGGTGGTCACGGCGAGGAGATTGTTCGTTCTGTGTATTTGGATGAGCAGGTATGTTTTACTCTAGTACTTGGTTCTTGACTGCGCAGAATAACTAATTGTTCCCAGTCCCAATCGGTGTTTACCTGCGGTGAAGATGGATTCGTTCGTGTCTGGAAACCACAAGGCGAGGGAATGGACATGGAGGATTCTTTGACTAAGACGTCACGACCTAAGGGAAAGAGGGGTAAGGACAGGGGACGGTTTAACCCGTATTAGATATTGAACTATTGGTGGTGTTGTAGTTGTTTATACGCAGAAAATTTAGTGTCAGTGATAGTTAGGTACAGAAGTTCGGTGAAATATATTCCTCCGTGTCGGGGTGTCGGAACATATTTATTGTACTATAGGTAATGGATTGACACCATTCAATTTACCATAGTAGAGCACTCTCACATAGTCAGTTTAGCATAAGCTAAAGTAAACCCAGTAGCGAAATAAAAATACCAATAAGTTAAATATAAAAAAAAAGAGTAACAAAGTCCAACCACGGTTGAAGATGAATTGGCGCGTGGTAAGGAAGGTACCGAGCCAAAAAGCAAAAGAATAGTCGCGCCCAGGATCGAACCGGAATCCTTCTCGGATGGTGTCCCTGTAGTAACGGTAGAAAATCTCTTCCGTTCTTATCTCCGCGGGATCATCAATTATTTCCATTCTCTAACTTTTTTCTTCCTTCGGAAACGCTTCACCTCCCTCGTTGTCGATTCTTGCTGTGTTTTGCGACGCGCCAGGCCGTTCTTTTCACACACTCTTTCTTGTCCTCTTGTCCTCTTCTTTCTATATACACAATACCTGAGCGGATTAAGCAGGAGTGCTTAGATTTATTTTCTTTTTTTCGTTGTATCATCCACCACTCAACGACTCCAAAAGACGCCGACTTCATCCATCCCGGCGAGCCGCCGCAAAGAAGAAAAAAAACCATCACATCGCACAGCGCCTATACCGTACACCTATCAGATATCGCTACCTAGTACATACCTATAGCACGTCCTACACCATACACCTCCACCGGGATATTGAATTGATTTATCATTCCGAAACGAATCGACAAGCCCTATCCATCCAACCCCTCACCTTCACTCCCACCCACGAAGCGAGGAGAGAGAGAGAGAGAGAGAGAGAGAGAGAGAGAGAGAGAGAGAGAGAGAGAGAGAGAGAACCATATCCAAAAGAAATCCTTCCTTGCGCCGAGAACATCCCTGCATACATAAATCACACACCAGAAACCAAAGCCAGAGCCAAAGCCAGAGCCAGAGCCAGACCCACGAGCCACGAACCACAACAACAAAAACCCATCCCATCCCATCCCATCACACCCACAACCCCTCCAACAAAAAGAAAAATGGACCCCCAAGCCTACCTAATCCGCCACGGCTGGACCGGACCAGGAAACCCCCTGAACCCGAACCGCCGGCCCGGCACGCACGGGGGCCTTGGGCTGACGAAACCCCTGCTCGTGGCGCGCCGCCAGGGCAACGAGGGAGTTGGGAAAAAGACGACCAAGGATCCGACGAATCAGTGGTGGTTGCGCGGGTTCGAGGACGCGTTGAAGGGCGTTGGGAGTGAGGCGCCTGCTGCTGGTGGGAGTCAGCCGAATGCGTTGACGAGTGAGTTGTATCGGTTTTTTGTGAGGGGGGAGACGGTGCCGGGGACCATTGGGGGGAAGAAGGAGGGTAAGAAGGAGGAGAAGAAGGAGAAGGGGGTGAAGAGGAAGATGGGAGATGGGGAGAGTAAGGAGGAGTCGCGAGAGGCGAAGAAGGCGCGCAAAGAGGAGAAGAGGCAGAAGAAGGCAGCGAAGGAGGAGAGACGGGCTGCGAGACAGGCGCGGCGGGAGGAGAAGAAGGTGAAGAAAGAGGAAAAGGAGAAGAGGAGGGCGGAGCGCAAGGAGCGCAAGGAGCTGAAGCGTCAGAAGAAGGACCACAAGCCGGAGGATGACTATCCTACGCCGGTGTCGATGGAGTTGGATTCGGCTGAGTCGAGTGGACGCGACGAGGCGGCTGTTCTGAAGGAGCAGAAGAAGGCGAAGAAGGCCGAGAAAGAGAGCAAAAAGACCAAGAAGCAGGAGGCGACATCCTCAGCCGACGAGAAACCCAAGTCGACGTCGAAGCCGAAAAAGTCCAAGGACGGGAAAAAGACGCAGGATTGAACTTTCGTATACTCGTTGAGTATTTTGTTGCCGTATGTACATTTCATAGCGGGTTGGCCGTTGATAGACTTTAGATACCCATTTGGCACGGCTGCAGTGTTGAGATTCAACAAAAAAGTACTTTATAATCAATCAAAATATTATATTTATAACGAATGCAGTCTAGACGTGAATCATGAATGCTTAACTAAACTCCGACATCAGCAGGCAACTTGCCCGGCTTCCCCGATAGAATCCACGGTCTTCGCTCCCAGAATTCATCCTTGATGATATCGACATGATCAACCACCACCTGAGCCTTCCGACGCAGTTTCCGAAGCTTCTCCTGCTGGGTCTTGGAGACCTGCTCCTGCAACGGCGCGGGCTCTTCCTCCGCCGACGTTTTCGCCTTGACGTCTTCTAATTGATACTGCGCTTTGGGTTAGTCGAGGAAATGTATAGAGACCTGCATGCACCGCTTACCTGGCGATAAATCACACTCCCTTTCTTGTAGATGTCCTCTTCATTGTTGTAGTTGATTCCGAACCTCTTGAACAGAATCTCGTTCTTGTCTGCTGAGACAGTACCCTGATCTCACACGTTAGCTAGCACTACCACGACAACGGTAGAACACCGCACAGCGCAACGCACCTTCAACTCCTGTTCGGCATCCGTATTACTCATTCCTCCCTGCAGCACCATCGTCCAAAATGTCGTATTATAGAGATTGTTTATATGGCCTGCCCGCGTCAGCTGCTTGTCCCCTCAACGCGCCATCATGAATAGAACACCGCAAGCGCAGGGACAACTTACAATCGACCTGTCTCCAACTCATGTAATCTCTCAGATTCCTCGTCGAGGGATACACGACCGCTCGCCCATCAAACGAAGGCAAGTACGGTGATTGAAGCGGCGTATCAGGGAAATACGTGTTCCAGAGATACACATAGTGGGCTGTGAAGGTTGATACGATAGTCGTGACGAGTTTACTGTTACCGGTCAGCTTTACCATGGCTCCCAACTGTAGCAGAGATAAGAGGGAGAGAGAAAGGTGTTTACCCGTTGCGTCGCTCAAAGAGCTGGCATGTTGGATGAAAGACGAAGCTGGAGGACATTTAGTAGTCTGAATTCGAACTCTCTACGACATGATATCATGTCAGAACAAGGGGACGAGGGGAGATAGGAACACACCTATACTCGTCGCTAACTCCATAGGCAATACACAGATCTGGAAGATCTTTCATGACTTCCACGGCTGCGGCGTTCATGAGATCCAGCGCGCGGCGATCGTTGGGCTTCGTGAAGTTATAGCGATCGGTGAGTCTGATTCGACGGTTAGTATTGGGGCTTGCTTGATCGGAGGATCATGACGATAGAAATTCGAGGAAGAAAAGGTCATAAGAGAAAGCAGCATGTCCAGGGAGAAAAATAACAAAAGAAGGATAACTGACTTGTGAAACCCCCTGCCATCGATACGCACGACGATCCAAGTATTGGGGAGTAGGATGTCCGGCTGCTCGAACGCTTTCACATACTCATATCTAAGAGCGGATATTAGCTATCAGTCTAGAGTGGATTAATTGCATGGTGAGCTGGGATTAAAGGAATAATAATTACTTTGAATTTGCCATGTTTGAATTAATATTCGCTACTGTACTTTATCCAGGCCGGTTGAGTCCGAGAGAGGGGCGGAGAAGAGGCGATTCGTTCTGGAAGGGAGGAAGAAATCTAGAGTTGTGCGGCAACCGCCTAACCGACTGCGGACACCAGAGGTTGTGCTCGAACGGCATGAAAATTCTATATCCTACGATTCTCTCTGAAAAAATGAACAAATCAGATACGAAACTCGAATAAACAGAGATGACCCTGCATGAATTATTTGAAAAAGAGAAATGTGTGCTATCCTGGAACCTAGAACCGGTTGCTGTTCAACGCCGTAGAAAATATAGAAACGATCCAAGGAAAGACAGAAATGATGGTGAATGACTGTAGGAAACACCCCCACAGCACGGGTCTATCTATGATAGAGACTTTGACAAATATCTATGAAATGTTCAATGAATGTGTATGGATTACGAAGCATTGGCTTCCTCCGGAATTTCATCGTCACCGATTTCGCTGGCGCGTTCACTCGGCCGTTCGCTCGTCTCGCTGGCGGCCTTGTCCGATTTCCTTGACTTTCGACTAAAGAAACCCAGACTGCTTCGGGTGGACCTGTCCGCAGATGGAGCACTGGAGATGGTACTGTCCATGCTTTTGGCAAGCAGTGACTCGCCGTTCCCATCCTCGTCAATGTCACCACCCTGAGACGAATCGCCCTTCTTGAAAAATAGTCCCGAGCGATCCTTCCACGAACTGAATTTCCCTGAACTACCCTTGCGCGTGATTTTCCGGATGAAGGATTCTTTCGAACTGTTGTTATCCGCGGAAGCTGCAGACGGCATGCGCTCCAACGACTCATGCGAATCTCCGGTGAGGATCGACAGAGATCGCGAGCCCCGAGAGGCGCGGGATTCGGAGGGTGAGCCGTCATCCATTAAAAATTCGAACGATGTATCATGGTCCCTGTCCTTAGCCCTCTCTTTCTCCTTATCCTTATCGGAGCGTTTCCCGGTAAAAATGGTCTTGAAAGAAGGGGCCGCTGGATTTAGTTTCGGAGTAACGGGTCGATGGGAGGATGAGGGGCGTGTACCGATTGGGGCTTGAAGGGGCCGACCCTGTCTCTCGAAGGAGTCTTGTGGAAAATCAGGCTCCCCCGTAAGTCCTAGGGGGAGGTGACCGGAGGAGCCGTACTGCGTCGACGGCCGGCGCGAATGTACGCGCGACCAAGTAGACGGTGAAGTCCAATCAAACCCGAGCAGACTTCGGTGGTCCGACTTCTCGGTCGAGGGCCAGCCGAAGTGCCGATTGTCTGTGGAGGGATGCGGCAGCTGGTTGTCGAACGAAAACGTCGACGATGGTCGGGGTGACAACGACCCGCGCCGGACAGTTCCGAGAATTGAGGACGGATCGATGGGGTCATGCCTAGGGCTGAATTGATTGTACCCAGTATTAAGGTCCGACGGTTCGCTGGACTTGCCTAAGTTGCTGCCGCTGCCAAATCCGAATCGGCTGGGGGAAAAGATGCTTGAGAAAGCGGCTCGCCGGGACGGTAGATGATCTGAGGAACTGTCATTCGTGACCCCAGTGGTATTGCTCCGGGGAAGTAACGAGATAGGGTTGGCCCAGTTGCCCGTGTAACTCAACCGACGACGTCTCGCTCCGATCGGGTCCATTTCGTCAAGATTCCGCGGGAAAGACTGACTCTGACCTGGTTTCAAGGAGCCCAGTAGAGGAGGTTCATCTGCCAGGGTTTTCCCTCGAGGCCGGTGGAAATTGAAAAGACCCGAAAGTCTTCGCGTTGCGCTCTTGGGGGCCTCCTCCGATTCTCCCAAATGCCCGGGTTGAGACTCGGTATCTTCATCCTGGCCTTCCCTTTCATGCGGACTGGCAAAGGTACTTCCAGGTCGACTCCCGGAGGAGTCCGGTGACGGCGGGCCGTGGCGGAAATTGTCGAGCTGTGGACCCGACGGCTCAAGATCCGGAAATCGAGGGCGCACTATGGGTCGTGGAAGTTCGGGAGATTCTTCATCCCCTAAAAGATCCGACGGTAGCAATGCATCGGCGCGAGGGCTCATTTGGGGGTTACTGAAAGAGATATCCGACTCCAAACGAAGCGGGTCAGGTTGGCCTGAAAGTCCAGGGAGAGTCATTCCATTGTTGATATTGAAGAAAGCAGGAGTCGGACCAAACGTGGGCGAGTTGGTGGAGGGCGGATTGAAATTGATGCCACCCGGAAACGACGGTTCTAGAGCAGGGAAGTTCATAGGGGATGAAACGTTGCTGGCAAGCGAACTGCGATGACGACGAGGACGGATAGTGGCATTGTTGGACAGGTCGAGATCCAAAGGGAGAGAGAACGGCGCGGTGCTTCCGGGTCGCTGGGAGGTCAACCACTTAAAGCGCTCTTGCGCTTCTTGATACTGCTGCTGTGCCTGCGCATGAAGGCTCACAAGTGTAGCGTATCGTGCATGGAGATTGCTCAATTTGATCTCCCACTGGCGGGCTCGGTCGTTGTCGATTCGGTCCAGTTCTCTACCATCTTCGCTGTCGGGTGCTTGATGATCCATTCTTTCTTCCTCCAGTTTCTTGACGCGGCCACCCTTGTCCTGGATCTCATCGTCGACGACCTTCATCTCGGCTTGTTGCTGGGCGATTTTCTCCCGCACCTCATCGGCACGAGTCTTGCCATCAGTCTCCAAGCGTTCCTGCTCCTCCTTCGCACTTTCGGCCTCATCTGTCATGCGTGCCATCCGTTCCTGCCACCGCACGATATCATCCTTGCGCTTCTTACGCTCAGACTCCTTCTGTTGCAGGAGACGCTGACGCTTTGCCTTCTCGCTCTGCACCGTCCGATTGACACTTTCAAGCTTGTAGACATGTTTCTTTAGGTCGCCGCTGGCCTCGTCCTTCTCCTTGACCCGTTTCCGTAGATCATCACGCTGTTTTTCGAGTTCCTTCAGCAGCGCAACATGTTCCTCATCCTCATCGGTGGTCTGTTTTTCGACATTCTCGTTCTCTTGCTGCAAGGACTTCAGCCTGTCGGCGAGTTTCTCCAGGGTTTCATCCCGACCACCGCCGGCTATGTTCTTCTGCAGTTCCTCCAATTGACTATGGGAGGTCTCCGCTCCGCTGGCGGCGGGGGACTGCTTTCGTCCGGCTGAGGATCGTTTCGACGCTATCTGACCTCCGCTATGCTCGCGAGACATGATCGGGGCGGAGGGAGCAGCGAGACCGGCAGTCGAGCGGGGGATCGATGCCCGGATGGTGGGACCGCTGACGGAGGCATTCTGTTGCGCCGAGGATAGAGGAAGAGATTTGGTCCGGACATGGATGATAGCACTGGGAGTCTGGAAGTTGGCCGCACTGACGGAGAGGACGCAGATATGGTAGATATTTCCGGGGATTAGATCTAGAATTTCGACTGCGGTCTCGGCTCGTTTCGATTCGCCCACTAAAAGCGGATGGTTAAGCCATAGATCGGTGGCGGGAAAAATTTCAAACAAGGTCGAGCAGAATCAAATAGCATCGGCATCCTGTATTTGCTCACCTTTTGTGCCATTCACCTGGATGATATGCTTATGAATGGAGTTGTGGAACTCGGGCTGTTTCCAAGCGATGCGAATCTCACGGGCAGTGATCTCCTCCAAAGTGACCTCTGGCGGCGGGGGGATGTCCAAGCCCAGTTTCTCAACCAGAACCTCGTTGGACGTCTGACAAACCTGCCATGCACGGTATAACAGCCTGGATCACCGGAGCATTAGACGGACATCTGGCACCGGAGAGGGGATAGAAACTCACCAGATCAGGGCCCAAAGGATGGTGACGGCGAGGAAGAGAGCCATGACGCCTCGAACCCTCACACGGGGGACGACACTGGGGTAGGCGTCAAAGGAAAGATACAACGGCTCATACATGCCAGCGTTGGATACCCACACAGAGCGAGAGCGAGAGAGAGGCAGCCCTTCGCAGCGCATCTCCAACTTGCAGCCCGCGGAAGTTCGCCGGTGGGGCCTAGCATCAGGTGACCTGCTGACTCAGAATGGACCCGATCGGGACTAGCGCCTCTCCCGGAAGCCGAGGAAGCAGCCGGTGCGGAAATCCAACGGTTTGCGCGGTTTGAGTTGCAGTTGGGCCCCGGAGAGAGAGTGTTGAGGAGCGCCGCTGCTTCCCAACCATCTCCTCCTACCCTTCATCTTTTCTCTCTCCCTCTTCTCTCGACGGACCTCTGTCTTCCTTCAACTATCTCCTTTACAGTCTTACTGCCCATCCCTTGCATTCACTCGCTTGGTCTCGTGCCTGCCCCGGTCAGCGCTCATTCTTTGTCGGCGCATTGTCTCCATTCGTTTCTGGGCATGTCTCGCATCGGGCTCTGTCACATGGGCCGTATGTAGGCGGCCACTCTCGCAACGTCCGACTTCTGTCCTCCCTCTTTATATTTTAGTTTCTCATTTTAACACCCCCCCGCCTGGATTCTTCCCCTGCATTTCGTCCTCCCTACCTCCCTCCATCGGCCTATCTCGGCCGCGTGCTATTTGCGGGATGCAGTACGTGCGAAGTATCAGCGGCTCCGTCTCGAAGACCTGGAATTCGATCAACCCGGCCACTTTGAGCGGAGCCATTGATGTGATCGTTATTGAACAGGAAGATGGTAAAATACTTTGTCTTTTGCCTTATTGTTCATCCAATAAATCGTGGCTGACTGGGTTTAACTGCAGGAACTCTTGCCTGCTCGCCGTTTCATGTTCGTTTCGGCAAGTTCTCCTTGCTCCGCCCGTATGAAAAGAAGGTACAGCAGATCTACCTCCGCCAGGAGTCCTCGAATCGTACGGTGTGTCTGACTCTGTCATCAGGTCGAGTTCAAGGTCAATGGAATCAAACAAGACTATTCGATGAAGCTGGGGGAAGGTGGAGAGGCATTCTTCATCTTCGAGACGACGGATGAGATCCCCGCCTCCTTGCAGACGTCACCGTTGGTCTCTCCGTCCACCAGCCCGAAGGTTCGCAGCGAAGAAAATCTTCCGGCCTCTCTACAAGAACCCGAATACTTGGATCTCGAACGATCGTCCTCGATGGGCATTAATCAAGACTCGAAAGCGTCTTCGACCCTGCCTATGATGTCGAGGGTAACGCGGGCCTCTAGTGACCTAGGTACGGCAGCTTAATGGCTCTCTTCCTCGACTCTCGAAAATCTTATACTCATGCATGTCAATCAGGTACCCTTACCCCGCTGTCGCGATCGCCTGATGATTCACATTTGGGCAGGTCCCGTCATGGTTCATTTGGCGACGAACCGGGGAGCCTCGACGGCGCCGATGCGACCAACATTCTACTAGGCAAGACCGATAACCCGGGTGGTCCAAGCGTCGTTGATCAAGTATTTGGCGAGCGAGAAACCAGTTCACCACCCCCCGACGACGATTCTGGCGAGAACCGGCGTTCTCAAAGCCCCCCACCTGTGTCGCCCGGGGAGGCTGTTTCGCGTGCCGAGTCTCTATCGAAGAAACTGACCGCCTCTAATATCCCTTCCCATGTCACCGATACGGGTGATCTTATGCTGGACATGACCGGGTACAAGAGCAACGAGGAAGACGCCTTACGTGCGGAGGTTCTTGCACGTAAAATCCTAGCGGAGGAACTGGAAGGGAACTACGATATCGGAGCCCTGATCGGTGCTGATGAGCACGGCAATTTGTGGATCTACAGCAGCGGAGAGGCCAAAGATGCAGCTGACCGCCGAGCTACGTTCAACTCCATGAGACCGAGCTCTGCGATGAGTGAAAATGCCATTTCCGACCCTGGCTATCACAGTGACAGCGACCGGTCTCTCCAGGCGACTCCGACTGCTGCTCGGCATTATCGCACTCAATCCGACGTCCAGCCGGGATTTCCGACCCCTCCGCAGTCTCCTACTCCGGGCGAGACGACCCGCAACTACGCTAAAACCCTGCGCCTAACGAGCGACCAGCTGAAGGCGCTGAACCTGAAGCCTGGCGCCAATGATATGTCATTCAGCGTCAACAAAGCGACCTGCACGGCTGCCATGTATTTATGGAATGGCAACACCCCAATTGTGATTTCGGATATTGACGGAACCATTACTAAGTAGGTCGCTACTGATAAAATGTATATCAACATCTGATGCTAATGCAAATACAGATCTGATGCTTTGGGGCATGTGCTTAACATGATTGGCCGTGACTGGACGCATGCGGGCGTGGCCAAGCTGTACACTGACATCGTGAACAACGGCTACAACATCATGTACCTGACCAGCCGATCCGTCGGCCAGGCGGATACTACAAGGGCGTACATCTACGGGGTCAACCAGGATGGTTATCGACTACCCAAGGGCCCCACAATCATGAGTCCTGACCGTACGATGGCGGCGCTCCGACGAGAGATCTACCTGAGGAAGCCGGAAGTGTTCAAGATGGCCTGCCTGCGGGATATTTTAGGTCTTTTCAACGGGAAAGAAAACCCGTTCTACGCCGGGTTTGGCAACCGTCTGACCGATGCGCTCAGCTACCGGTCGGTGAACATCCCGTCCAGTCGAATCTTCACGATCAACTCCAATGCCGAGGTCTCTCTCGACCTCCTCAGTCTGAACAAATACAAGAGTAGCTACGTGTCCATGGGCGAACTTCTGGACCACTTTTTCCCACCCACTAGCTTGCTGGTCCAAGCGGGTGGGGAGGAGTACACGGACTTCACCTATTGGCGGGAACCTCCACCGGATCTCGAGGACTTTTCTAGCACCGATAGCGAGGATGAAGATGATGATGACGACCAGCCCGATGACGAGGACGAGGACGTCGACGAAGATTATGATGGTGAATTGAGCGACGACGAAGGCAGCGATGTCGATGACGACGAAACGGCCGATGAGGATCTCGGAGCCAGCTTTATCTCGCAGGTCTCCATCGACCCATCCAGCCTGGTGGAGGACGAGGACGAGGACGAGCCGGGGGAGCCTGGCGAAGCGGTGCAATTTTCCGAGGTTCCACGCTCGCCTCCAAAGAAGACCCGACAGTCTCCGGAGCCTGGAGATTCTTGAATATGAGCCGGACTGCTTGTTTTGCTGCTGATATAAATAAATACCCGCCATCTCAACGCTTTGCCTGGTGGATGTCCCATTTGCATCCGCGACATCCAAGGGGTTCTATTTTCTTATGCATTCTCGGCGTTTAGAATGGGTTGCATAGCTAGTTTGATTTTGTTTCGGCGATCAAGATCTGTACAGTCAATTTGGATAGACTGGTAGACAATCGGAATATACTACTACTACTACTACTATTACACACAATTCCATGACGACAGGAAGTTGGCTGTAGGTGGAGATGTAGAGAAGTTGCCCAAACGGGTTAGCGCGGCCGGAAGAAAGCCCGTCGACTTCATCATTTCCTTTCCCTTCCGTTCCCCTTCAACTCACCTCCACGGACTCTTGATCCTGTCGCGCGACACAACCCCCGCCCGGTCGCATCTCTCAACTCGGCCCGCTGTCATCCACCCTCGTCTGATCATGTTCCAATAAGAGAGTCCACTTCGCCGTGTCTGCAACACCACGCATCATCCCTGGCGACGGTCACAACTTCCTATCACCGCCTGTCCATACCTCACCCACCCCATATAACCATCACCACCTCTTGAGCCAATCCCCTCACAATGGCCTCACCAACCCAACCCACCGGCGCATCCACCCAACCTCTCACCCCTCCCGCCGAACCCTCCTCCGCCAACACATCCCAACAGCAGCAACAGCAGCAACCACCCACGGCCAGCGGACCAACGACCAACAACCCTCCCACCTCAAGCGCCCACCCCGCGCACCCCTCCCAACCGACCCAAATCCCCTCCACCTCGCTCAAAGACTCCGGCAAATCGCGCCGTCCCCGCGATGTCCGACTCATCCACATGCTCCTCGCCTCTCTCGGCGTGACATCCTACCAAGAGCGCGTCCCCCTCCAACTCCTCGATTTCGCATACCGCTACACCTCCAGCGTCCTGCAGGACGCGGTGCACCTCGCCACAGAAGGCTACGCGGGGTCCATGGACGGGGGAACCTCTCGGGGCGGGGAAATCAATAGCGTGTCGCTGCCGGCGCTGCGGCTGAGCATCGCGTCGAGATTACATTATCAGTTCCAGACGGGCCTGCCGAAGGAGTTTCTGTTGGATGTCGCGGCGGAGAGGAATCGTGTTGCGTTGCCTGGTGCGACAAGGGGGTTTGATGCTGGTCAGCAGGTGAATAAACCGGCCGCGAATCAGAGTGTCCTCATGGGCGGGATGAGGTTGCCGCCGGAGAGGTTCTGTTTGACCGGGACCGGGTGGAATATGAAGGATGAGTGGGAGAGTGAGGGCGAGGAGGAGGTTGAGGTCGGTGGCGGTGCTGGTGGTGATGGAGGAGGGGCTGGGGAGGCGCAGAAGGGGAAGCAGGAGGAGGGCGAGGGCGAGGGCGAGGGGGATGAGGATGACGGAGAGGATGGGAAGATGGAGGATGTGTTTGGGGAGGATACGGCGATGGGGGAGGGCGATGATGGAGAGGATAAGACCATGACGGATGTTTGAGTCGAGTGGTCTGGCATGTATCAACATATCGTTGTTCCCTGAGGGTTTCAGTCAGGGATTGGATACTTTGCTTCATTGGCGAACAGGGAGTTTGAGGCGCATCAGACCGGAATGTTATATTTCTTACTCTTACTACATGATCATTCCTGATTAACGAGCTGCCCATCGGGAGCAAAGCACAAAATAATAAAGATGAGTGAGATGATCTACTGTACAATAAACAAGTTCCACCATGCAGACATACATACAGGATAAGAAGCCTGGAACAAATGAAAAAAGTACCCCATGCTAAGTAAAAGCTTGAAGACCAACAAAGATAACAAAAAAAATAACGCCGTACCCAATCTTCAATATGCATCTCCTCGTCTCTTCAACAAATCTGTCCGTCTCTCTGTCCTTTCTTCCTCCCTCCCCCGGTAGGTAAGTAAGATAATCCATATAATTCCAAGCCAAAGAGAAAGGAGGACAGACCACCCCCCTCTCACCTCGCGAGAGTATAGAAAATAAAAAGAGGGGAATCAATTAATTCCCCCCCTTCCGCTTCCTCTCCTCATCCTCCCTCATCATGCGAATCACAACCTCTCTCCGCTTCTCGACCTGCGCGAGCTCGTCCTCCTTTGCGCGTTTCCGCTCCTCATGCGTCGAGAACCACTCCTCGCGCGCCCGATCCTCTTCTTCTGGTTTCGCGTGCGCCACCATGCACGAGTTCATGGCGAGGCGTTGTGTTCGGCATACCCATGTTGCTGTGACGGTGCGGTTGACGGCGCATTCGGCGAAGGCTGTATAGGGCAAATAGCTTGGGTTAGCGGGGTCTTGTTGGGTGATTGGTTTGCTAGCGAAGTTGAGATTGGGGGAGTGGGGAGTGCGAATTGGATATGAACAGGGACAGGGACATGTACTGCTGGTGGGTGGTGGGGGTAGGATACGATAGGATGGGAGAGGATGGAGCAGGGTAAGGTAAGGTGGACGAACCTTTGATCTCCGGGGCACAGAGAGCTCGCACGCGCTTATAGTATATTTGTTTGACTTCTGATTCTTGGGCGGCGGAGAGGGGGAGGGGATTGCGGAGGTTGTATTTTTTGGGGCCCTCTGGCATCGAAGACGTTGATGTTGATGTTGACGGAGCGGACATTTTGGATCGGTGGTGGGGTTGGAGGTGGGTTGTTTAGATCGGTCGGTCTGGTGGTTCGGTTGCAATTCGAGAGTGTAAGGGACCAGGTCGGTAGGAGGGATCTAGTCTCGGAGGTTGAGCTGATGCTAGGTGAGGTGAATCGCAAGGTGTCGATCGATCAATGAATCAATTGATCACGAGCGGCAGCAGAGACGGGAATCGAGAGTGTAGGGGGAACAATTCGAGAAGAAATCGAGCGAAGTGGTTCCGTCAGGGTCTGTAAGGTCCGAATCCCTTAACCAACTCGATCAATGAAACAATTGGCGGGCGTGGTGGAAGGCTCTTCCCGTAGAGGTGAACTGCAGATGAAGTTCTCCGCTCCGCCTGGCAAGTCTCGGTCGGTCTCCCTGTCTCTCTTGTCGCTCTTCCGCCTCCGAACTTTTTTTTTTTTCTTCCGCCGATTAATTTACACTTGACTCTTTGCAACGAGAGACCTTCTTTGCACGCAGTTACTTCCCTGGTATTATCTGCTGGAATCCCACATCTTTTCTCCTTTGGTAATAAAATACCACGGAAAATAAATCCCATCACCTCCGACATCCAGACCAAGCCCGGACGAAAAAACACCCAGCAAAATGTCCTCCATGCGCAACGCCGTCCAACGGCGCCAGCACCGCGAACGAGGACAACTCCAAGGCCGTGAAAAATGGGGTATCTTAGAGAAGCATAAGGTGCGCTTCTTCTCCCCTCCCCAGACTCTCCTAATGGCTCTTCAGCCCTTCCTCTCCCATCCCAGTCAGTCTATGTTATACTAACACGGAAAAATCAATAGGACTACTCCCTCCGCGCGCGCGACTACAACAACAAGAAGGCCAAGTTGAAGCGCCTCGAAGAGAAGGTCCGCGACCGCAACCCCGATGAATTCGCCTTCGGCATGATGTCCTCTGGCACGGGACGGGCGGGCAAACACGGCGCCTCGAACCGGGCCTCCGCGGCGGGCATGAGCCACGATGCAGTAAAACTGCTGAAGACGCAGGACGCCGGGTATCTGCGCACCGTGGGGGAGCGGGTACGTCGGCAGATGGAGAAGTTGGAGCAGGAGGTGCGGTTGCAGGATGGGTTGCAGGAGATCTTTGGGAAGAAGGACAAAGAAGAAGAGGAGGAGATGGATGAGGATGAGGATGATGAGTTTGGGTTTGATTTTGGGGATGAGGATGTGAAGAAGCCGAAGAAGATGGTGTTTGCGGATGATCAGCTGGAGCAGAGATCGTTGCAGAAGCAGAAATTGAGGGACGAGGAAGATGAAGAGGATGACGATGATGATGACGAGGATGATTCGTTTGGAGGACTGCAGAAACGCCAGCAGAAGAAGTCGCGGAAAGAAATCGAGGCGGAACGTCAGGCTCTAGTAGAGGCGAGGCGCATGCGCAAGACGAAAAAGCGAGCGGCCGAGGCGCGCCAGAACAAGTTGAAGGCGCTGCAGAAACAGCATGCTGATATCACGGCAGCGTTGAACGAGTTGGACTGGCAACGAGCTCGCATGGAGAACTCGGTGGGAGGTACGAATAAGGATGGGATCAAGTGGAAGGTCCGCGAGCGCAAGAAGTGATCTCGGGATCGCTATGATTCATGATGATTTTTCTAATACTATTCTGTTTATTTCGTTTAATATGGCCGGGAAAAGTTGGATCTATGATTTGTGTGTTTGTATAGAGGTTTACAGAAGGATACCACTGAAAGAATCAAACTGGACTTTTGATTGCTACTCGTCTATCGGTCGTTAAAACTCGAAAAGAAACCATCTAGGTCGTCATATTAAAAAAGAAATGCTCGCATGTAAAAGAATCCGAAATTACTGCTGCTTCATGTGCGCCACGCGGATGCTGACAGCTCGCTTGTGCGCGTCTAGTCCTTCAACACCGGCCAACTGCTCGACGGTGCGAGACAGTCCCAGCAGACCGTCCGCCGTCAGGTTGGAGCTGGTGATGTGCTTCAGGAACGATCCCAGGTTCACGCCCGAGTATTGCTTGGCATAGCCGTACGTTGCTATCAGAGGTTAGTTGATTCTTGTTTCCCATGGTCAATAGGGGATAGCTTACGCAAAGAGTGGTTCACACCCGCCGAATAATCACCCACACTCTCAGGAGTCCACTGGCCGATAAAGACACTGCCTGCGTTCTGCACCTGCTCCACCGCAGCCTCAGCGTTCTCGATCTGCAGGATCAGATGCTCCGGAGCGTATTCATTGCTGAGGGTCATCGCCTCGTTGAGGTCTCGGACCACAAACGTAACCGAGTGCTCCAAAGATCCCCTGACGATGTCCATGCGAGGCAAAGCCCGGGCCTGCTTGTCAACCTCATCCTCGATAGCCTGGAGCTGCTGCTCGTTGAGGTTGATGGCAATAAGAATGACCTGCGAGTCGACGCCGTGCTCGGCCTGACTCAGGAGATCCGAAGCCACGAACGCCGGGTTGGCCTTCTCGTCGGCCACCACCAGCACCTCACTGGGTCCGGCGGGCATGTCGATGCTGACACCGGCCGAGGTATCATTGGAGACCAGCATCTTGGCCGCCGTAACGAACTGGTTGCCAGGTCCCAGGATCTTGTCAACCTTGCTGATGCTTTCAGTTCCGTAAGCCATGGCGGCCACGGCCTGAGCACCACCCGCCAGCACGATGCTCTCGGCGCCCACCTTGTGCGCCACGTACACGATCTCGGGAGAAATGCTGCCGTCAGATCGGGGCGGCGAGGCCAGGACGATCTTCTTGCAGCCGGCCACCATGGCGGGAACACCCAACATCATGGCGGTCGAAGGCAGCACGGCAGTACCACCGGGAACGTAAAGACCAACCCGCTCAATAGGCCGGGAGAAGCGAGAGCAGACCACGCCGGGCATGGTTTCCATGTGGAGAGTGTCGTTGCTGCTCCCCTGAGCGGCGTGGAACTTGGAAATGTTGGAGATGCTGACGTCGATGGCGTCCTGGGTTTCGGGAGACAGCTTCATCAATTCCGCGGGGTAAGGAGCGTGGAGGACTGGGGAGGTCAAGGAAGTCGCCTTCTCGAACTTGTGGGTATACTTGAGAACGCCGGCGTCGCCGTTTTCGCGGACATCTTGGATAATGGGGCGGACGAGACCAACGATGGCATCGTTGGACTTCTGCGATGGACGCTTGAGGTGGTCCTTGACAACGTCGACCGACGCTGAAGCAGTCACGACCCGCGTCATCTCAATTCGGCTTTCGTCAGCCTTTGGCTGGCTCTCCGGAGCCGGGGCAGCGGGAGCAGTGGGAGCAACGCCGGCCTTCTCCGCCCAAGGACCCTTAGCATCACCCTTTCTGCGCTTCACCTTGAGATTCTTCAGATCGAGGTTTCTCTCCACATCCTCCAGACTGACACCAGCAGCCACACAGCGCGTCAGAGCAAAATAGAATAGGTCAGCGGCCTCAAAAGCAATTTCTTCCTTGGTGTTGGCCCGGCATAGCTCGTCGGCTTCCTCCATGATCTTGGCTTGAGTGAGCTTAGGGTCATTGAAAAGACGGGCAGTATAGGAGCCCTCGGGTGCATCCGCCTTGCGTTCTTGCAGGGTCTTCTGCAGGCGAGAAAGACCGTTGTACGGACCGAAGCAGCTGGCGGTTCCCAGATGGCAAAAACCTAATCGGAGTATGTGCATTAGCCACGCAGTATTTTGGTGCAGGGGACGGGGATGAAAAGCTCCTTACCTCTACCGATCTGCTTGACAGTGAACACTAAGCAGTCGCTGTCGCAATCGAAACCCACCCGGATCAGCTCCTGCACATCACCGCTCGACTGACCCTTGTACCACAGACCCCGCTTTCGGCTCTGGTAGACACCGGTGCCGGTGCGCAGGGCCTCGGAGATACTCTCGTCACTGCTCCAGACCAAACCCAGACAGGTGCCGCGCTCGTCGGTCACCGTAGTGGCGTAAAGACCGTTGCTCTGATCGGCCACCGCTCGCGCCGCGATGAGAGAGGCGGCCATAACCTTGCCATCGGCCTGGCTGCGATCAAAGGTCAGGGCGTCAGACGACAACACGCTGACCGCACCCTGCTTCACAGCTTCCTTCAAGGTCTCCTCCGAGGGCGAACCGGAGAGCGTCTGGTAGAGGTTCTGAGCCTCCAGGTTCATGCCTAGCTTGTCAGCTAGGGCCTTGACGGCGGCCGACTCGGTGGCTAGGCCGGCTTCCCTGCGCTCGTATTTCTCAGCCACCCATGATTGGAAGGCATCTATCTGGCTATCGGAGGAGGCGTAGACGACAATGCGGGACGAGGGGACGGATTGTTCTTGAGTGAGGGCGGTCAATTGGTCGAGGGTGATGAAGATCTTGGCGGCTCCGGCGTTCAGGATGTCGACGAGGACACCGGAGGAGGCAACGGCGGTCGCATCGACGTAGACGTCGAGGGAACGGAGGTTGGCGCGAAGGAACTCCTCGGCCTCAGCGAGACTGGAAGCCTTGACCAACACGCGACCGAAGTAGGCGATCTGGTCGAGGGCGAGGCCGGAATCGGAGGGGTTGGAGGGGTCGAACGAGACGAGGATGGGTGTGGCCATGATGAACAAGGCCGAGGGTGGGGTTTAATCAGAGAGGGTCAGAAACCAATCTCGACTGATTTGAAGACAGACGAGAAAGAGAGAGCAATGAAACAAACCCCGATGATTGAAGGAAAGAATGGAGTTGAGGGGAAAGTGAAGTGTGAATCATCGGGAAATTCTTGCTGCCCCGCACGGAGGCACGTGGTTGGTGCCAATGGCTGGATGCTTGCGGTTATCGGAAGAACACTTAGCAGGGAGACCAGGTGAAGGGGGTTCCAGCGATGACGAGGGAGGACTACATGATAGAATGGTATCTTTCACCTTGTCTATTTGCACTTCATCCGTGTCTTACGAAGGGGATATCATCGAGTGCCAATGATGGCCGTGAGAATGACAAGCAGAAACACATCCCGTGATTGGTGGACATTGCTGATTCAGCCGTTAATGCAAGAATTATCCAGACATTATCCCGGATAATTCACAGGTACCAGGTACTTCACATCCTGGCAAGGGAACATGTCTAAAATAAGTACTCGATACCTGCCCTATCACTCGATCTACACCGTATCACATGGTCTTACCTCGACGGAGCCCCCAGTAGAGCATGGATCAAGACCACCTGAGAGCTGGCCAAGATCGTCCAGCACGACCCCCCGTCTGCCAATGCTCCTGAATACACTCTGATCCTCCTGAGAGACATGGAGATTGCCCCATTCGGCAACCGAGGGTCTGTTTGCCTGGGCCCTCAGGCAGTCAGGCGGACGGTCGGATGATACTTCGACGCGATGGAGATTCACTGCTCCATCACATTGGCATTTTTAGCACGGAGGAGTCACAGCCCACTGGCTCCTTCGGGCCTGCCAATCTTCACAAAAACGCAAAGCAGGCTAAACCCACTTCCCCTTCCCTCATCGCCGTCACTCCAGACGATCTAGTCGATTGCCGAGTCGTGGGCTGGTCCATCGTCACTAGTCGGTGGGTCTTTCCCGGCTCCATTTAATGGGAAAGCACAGTTTGGAATGAAATGTGGTTCTGCATTCAATCGAGGATTGACTTTCGCTTCGTTCGCGAATGAATGCGGAATACCAGCGGTCGACCTCCTTGCGTTCCCCTGCATCCCTCGGCCGCGGTGACTAAGGAGGAAGGGAAGGGCAGTGGCTGCCAGCATAAAATCACCCCGATGTCCATCGCGCTTGGATTTCCTTCCCCACGCGACATCTTCTGCTTCCCTGGAGTTTTAGTTCGTTCCTTAGTGTCCCTCTTAGTCCCTGATCTCCCCCCCCTCCTCTCCTTATTTATGCACTTTCGTCTGCTCCGTCAGGCTGTCGCTCGTTGAATTGTTTAATTTTTTATTAATCCCACCTGCCCATAGTACATAGTTATATTTTCCCCGGCAGTTGTTTGGTGTTCGCAAAAGAGGGCTTGATTAATCTACGATACTCATACACTCTCTTCCATTCCCTTTTCAGTCGGCCGAGTGTCACTCGTTCTTCCTCGACCATGCATCTACCGTCTCTTATTCCCCTGACGGCCTTGGCCCTCGTCACTCCTTCCGTCGCCTACCCTCAGCATCACGATGAGCAGCCTCTCGTGAAGCCCGAGGACTCCTCGTCGCGTGCCGACACCATCAAGGAGGCCTTCGTGCACGCTTGGGAGGGTTACCACAAATATGCCTTCCCCAACGATGAGTTGCACCCCGTCTCCAACGGATATGGTAACTCCCGTAATGGCTGGGGCGCGTCCGCCGTCGACGCTCTTTCCACCGCCGTCATCATGGGCAATGCCACCATCGTCGAACAGATTATCGACCACGTCGCCAGCCTCGACTATTCCAAGACCGACAGCATGGTCAGTCTCTTCGAGACCACCATTCGGTACCTGGGTGGCATGATCTCCGGCTACGACCTGCTGAAGGGTCCTGCGGCGGGCCTGATCGAGGACGAAAGCAAGGTGGAGACTCTCCTGACCCAGTCCAAGAATCTGGCGGACATCCTGAAATTCGCCTTCGATACCCCGTCCGGCGTTCCTTACAACCAGATCAACATCACCTCGCATGAAAATGATCACGCCAAGACCAATGGATTGGCCGTGACCGGCACCTTGGTTCTGGAATGGACGCGTCTGTCGGATCTCACCGGCGATTCCGAGTATGCCAAACTCAGCCAGAAGGCCCAATCGTACCTCCTGGATCCTCAGCCCAAGGAAGCCGAGCCGTTCCCGGGATTGGTCGGCAGTCACATTGATATCAGGACCGGAAAATTCTCCGACGCCCAAGTCAGCTGGAACGGTGGCGCCGACTCGTTCTACGAGTATCTGATTAAGATGTATGTGTACGACCCTAAGCGGTTCGGAAAGTATAAGGAACGCTGGGTGGCCGCTGCCGAGTCCACCATCAAGCATCTCGCGTCACACCCGGAGCCCCGCCCTGACCTGACCTTATTGGCGTCGTACAACAACGGAAACCTGGGTCTCAGCTCGCAGCACCTGACCTGCTTCGACGGAGGAAGCTTCTTGTTGGGCGGTACCGTGCTGAACCGTGACGACTTCATCCAGTTCGGCCTGGACCTGGTCAACGGATGTCACACTACCTACAACGAGACCCTCACCGGCATCGGACCCGAGACCTTCAGCTGGAACCCGAACAACGTGCCGGATAACCAGAAGGAGCTGTACGAGCGCGCGGGCTTCTACATCACCAGCAGCGCTTACATCTTGCGGCCGGAAGTTATTGAAAGTTTCTACTACGCTTGGCGCGTGACGGGCGAGGAGAAGGTAAGAAGTCCAACGTGGCCTGTCCGACAGGACAACGGATGAAAAAAGACGTGGACTAATTTGACTGATGGTAGTACCGCGAATGGGTGTGGAACGCCTTCGTGGCGATCAACAAGTACTGTCGCACCGAATCCGGCTTCGCTGGCCTGAAGAACGTCAACGCGGAGAACGGCGGTGGCAAAGATGATAACCAGGAGAGTTTCATTTTCGCCGAGGTGCTGAAATATGTCTACCTGACTCACTCGGACGGTAAGTTGGCATTGCACAGAATATCAGACCATCATGCTGACTATCCGATTACAGACGAGGCGTGGCAAGTCCAGAAGGGCGAGGGCAACAAGTTTGTCTACAACACCGAGGCACACCCGGTTCAGGTTGCATAGACGCTTAGAAGATACCGCTGTAGTACATATATACCGAGCGTAACTTATTGGTATGGATTATTGTTATTTCAGAGGATGCTGGCAGAATTGGCATGCTAGATTTGTATAGATGCCGAAATCAGTTGTCTTCTTGGCAGTCTACTGGCTAGCACCTATATTCTATAACAATACATGCAGTTTGCACCCATCTTACGCTTTCAAGGGTGGCAAGCCCTGTCCTCTAAGGATAAGGCTTCTGTTAGTGGAGATCTTAGTTCCGCCTTTCCAAGGGCGTGGTAGCGTCACTTTTCCCGAGGATACCGCAGGCCTCATTGGTATCAATTTGGGAGCCTTGTCGAGTCTAAGAGAAGCGATAAAATCTCCGTTCGAATGCAGAGAATAAAATTCGTGATGAATCGCTCACCTGCTCAAGACCGGCCCCCGCATGGAAAAGTACTGGACAAAAAAGCAAAGCATTCTCTAAACTCAAGAACATGCCTTTTCGAAGAAAAACAGTCTTTAGAACTGTCCGTGGTGATAATAACTACAAACACTAGCGGGAAGGATATGGGGATTCCAAGAAAGGAATAATTTTATTGAAGGTATCCTAATGTCCTTCCGCATGATTCTCCATTAAATCTCGTAAGCAAAGTTCATCGGTTGTGCCTGTGCCATTTGGAGGCGATTGCAGTTTCATCAATGCCAGCCATCGCGTACATTTATTTGTGGGTTTGTAGACATAGAAAAGAAAAATCAAATTGTATGGCCCTGGTTCCGTCATAAGATCCCGTCTCCCATGGTTACCTGCTCAGATCTACATGACAAATAAGTGACAACATCACAGCAACTTAAAGATCATATCACAGAATGGAAGTAGAAGGATAGAGGGGGGGAACAGGCTACATACCACCGGCTTTGGTTTTCATTTCTTCCCCGCCACATCTAGGTCTGTAAGGCCTGATTTCGTCTTGCATTGTATCAAGCGATTTCTCCACATTCGCAATAACTTCCGGGTGCTTCTCCTCTGGATACGCAGAGCGCAGGACGTCCGTGGCAGTTCACAGTTTGGCACAGAGTTTGACAAGCTCTGGGTTGATCTCCGAGTCCTTGAATTTGATGTTGTCTCTCAGGACAAGCAGATCCTGCTCCATCTGAATCAGCTGATTCAACTTCTGATTCAACTGCTTCAACTGCTTCGACTTCTGCAACAAAATCTTGATCTTTGCATCGAGAGCAACGAGCTCATCGAGCTGTTCGTTCAAGTAGGCTGTATCGAAGCCACAGTTTCCGCAAAGGTCGAATATCTTGATCGAATCCACGATGCGGTTGACATGGATGGATAGATCGGTTAGAGCTTCGGGATCGCTGAGGGTTTGCGGATCTATGCTGCCTATGAAGACAATTAGTTTGGATTATCTAAAGGAGAATTCTGGTCCACAGACCTTTAGCAGGAGCCTTGGTCGAAGGGGCAGTCATTGAGGCTGAGGTATCTTCTCAGATAAGGGACTGTGTCGGAGACAGAGAAGGCGCGAAGAAATCGGAAGAGGATTCAGAAGGAGTCTCAGAATCACAAGTGTGGACTTGCTCAGTTCTGGAGAACCTGGCAATTGTGGAAGGTGATGACAGGGTGGAATCGCTACTTGAGCTGCAGAAGAAACTGCAAGCAGCCAATATGGAAAGGGTGAATAAAAAAAATGTCACAGTAGATGGAGTTGGGTCCGGGAAGTGACTTGTGGGAGAGGAGTGAAGAGATGGATGTGAATGAATGAGAGGGAGGGGAAGTTATGAAGGATTCCCATTTCTATCACTCATCAGTAGTTAATGCCGATTTCTCAAATATTCCCGGTCATCTCTGTATTACCCTCTTTCTATATAGCTACAACTTTCTCATCATGGACCTAGTTCCAGAAGATATCAAGAAAATATTTCTGGTCTTTCCCAAACCCATATTACAGTATTATATGTACGTAAACCATGAAAGCTGATCAGTATGCAGACGCCGATGAGCTTTTGGAAGCTTCTATCCAGATTGAGGGATTATGGCAGCTTGGCCTTCAAAGCATGCTGAGTTCACAGGGATATTAGAGGAAATCACCAAGAGTTTAGAGACCGAATTGAAAAACCCGGTCCTTGATTGCTTTTATAGTTGTAACTTTAGTGATGGTGCGCGCGACTATAGATACTAGCTATTCATGCGATGATTAGGCACCCAAAGAAGGACGTCGAACCATTAACGATGAACTCCCGCCAGGAGTTATGCGAGTAGACGAGCAGAAATCTCGTAAAGATCATTATCTCGGCGATCGACCCAAACAGCCCAATATTATGAAGACATTCCCTCCCTTCTGGCAGATACTCAGTTATTTTTGGACTGGTAGACGAGTTCAGAGATGAAGAGAAAGTACTCCGATATTTAGGGATCCACTTAATCCCGGAAGGCAGACTGGCTCTGTTTCCAATCAATTGTGTTTAACATCAACGATCCACGAGGCATGAACATCAAGCAAATGCGTTTTCCGCCCGCTAAGTTATAACGAAGACAAGCATACACTTGATATTGAATGGTACTGGCAAGCAAGGGCGGAGCATGATGGCTCTCTTCACATTGACACCCAGACTCGGACCAGCGAGCGACCCATACCGGTTGAGAAAAAGAGAGGTGCTCTCTCCAGATAAACCATCATTATCAAAAGCACATCGACACACTGCAGACAGGATTTGAGAGAAACGGAGAATTTATCGGGCGACCTTTCCATTGAGACATACTTGCACCCCTCTGATCCCTTCATATCTATAATGGAACTGGCCAAGAATGAGCATGGCTCGTTTTCCCTTGTATTGGCCTAGGATCTTGCGAACCATTAGCATAGACAAGAGAGAAACGAGATTACCCGTGCCTATAAGGTGGTAATTGAAAGTATAGAAGTTTACTGACAACGTTTAAAGAATAGGGCCATGTTCCAAAGGTACTTGTTCATGAAGATCATTCTATCATCGCACCCCATCATCTCATACAACTTCCTAGGGACAAATATTTGAGCTCAAGTCTTTTCATCAGATTATGGGAGCTATAAAGCTCCTCTTGGCCTTTGCTCTGATCTTTGATGATTAGTTATCTTACCTTTCCGAAGAGTTATCTTCGATGAGTGCCATAAAATCAAAAACGACCAACGAACATGGTTACTCGCTGCAAAGAACTTTACGCCAATGCCACGGTGATGCTATCTCGAACAATACTGAGCAACACATGGCACGATGTTGCCAGCCCACTCACACTTCTATATGGACAACCTTTCAGCGACAGAAGAGAATTTATGGATGCCTTTGTTCGGCTGTCAGATAAGACTCCGATACTTGAACCCAAACCAAAATATATCGTTCGGATGCAGCGTTTGCTCATGGCTATCATGATTTCAAGACCATCAAAAATTCTCGATTTGCCCGGACTTCTGAAAAAGGACACCACCTTCGAATTAGATGACATCTTGAAGTTTCTGGAGCGACTTCATGTGGCGAGGGGATGTTTCGTAATTCTCACCGCAAGCAGGGGTAACGATGTCGGATCGAGTGGGTGAAGCTGTAGAGGCATGCTCATCAAGGGGGGTGTGGGACTCCATGATGGCAGGCTGTTCTCTTTCCACAAAACAGGCATCAGCCTTTGCTAGATGCCTGATGGGATTGAGATGAGATGGGGTATTTGAAAAGCTCAAGGTTGAGGTAAGGGTGGAAAGGAAGGAAGACTTCGAGATCTTGAAGTAGTGACGGGGAAGATGAAAGGTTTGGGTGTTTGAAGGGGTTAGGGCTACACCCTAGAGTAAATGTTGCCTGGTTGTTGCCTGTTGACTCACAGTGAAGAAAATGACATCTACATACACTTTTGTATGGGACCGTCTAACTATACCGTCAGGCATGCAAGGACGACTCCTTAGCGCCTGTCTTTCCGGCTAATTACAAGAGCCCGGAGCTTAGGTATTCTTTCGCTAGGAACAATTCTAGGTTACAATATTAGTCTATGGCACCTATTCCCTTGGTTTTCCAAGCTAGATCATGTCTCTATTCGGGGAGCTTATGTGGTTTTAAGAGATATCTGTGGAGGCTTATATGGTAACCTAGCGTCTGGCAGATAAAAAAGTTATTTACTAGACTCAGAGGACGTGTTAACGCAGTACATTCATATTAAAGCCATAAAAATCACTATCCGCCCAGTCAATGACCCCATCCACCTTCCCATGACCCAATGAATCCCCAATAATGGATAGCTAAAGTAATAAATATTAGCGTTCCAATGCTGCCACGAACACCGATAAACCTACATGAAGAAGGCATCTCAAAGAAAATCAGCGAGATCGACAACAGCATCTTCGATCGGAATTACAGCAAATCCAGTTCCATGGACAGCAGCATCTATTTCCGTAGCTACAGGTGCATTGTAAATCAGAGTCGAGGACACCGGGTTGAGCCAGGCCGAAGGTCTCGCCGCTGAGCTCAAGGGTACTCTGGTCAGAGAGGGTGTGGGCATCGTTGTCAGCTGGCTGTGCGAGGGTTGCCAACGCAGCCAGCAACAGGCCTGCGAGGATGTTTGAAATGATCATGATTGATTCGAAGCTTGATGAAGATGGATGGATGAAATTATGAAATCATGTAAAGTTGATTTCCTAGAGGAGGGCTGCCGATCAATTTATGTCAAACGAAGGACTCCTAAAATCGGCGCATGTCATACAATCAATAATAACATAGACCAGTCTGACAACATCGTAGCTGTTGGATGATAGTTTGATAATGACTTGGCTATTGACACTATTGGATATGTCTCAAGGAGCTGCATCGATTGTACGTTGTACGAGCAAAAGGCCTACCCTCGATGGCTTCAGATAGCCAGATAGTCGCTATCGAGGACCGGTGTCTGACCCCCATAAAAGTCGAATGGCCCTACAGTGACGCACATACCAACCCCATACCAAGACTCGCACAATGTAACCGTATCCCCTCCAGTAGCTTGATGTAACTAGATCATCCAATCTTCAAGCTTACGCAGCGTGGCCAATTTCCTAATTTGAAAAGCGGGGATTCTTAGCAAGTACAGGAAATGATAGACGCATACTACATCGTATGCTGTGAGACCCTATACAATAATGATGTCTCTGCAGGTTGAGATGTACAAATCGCGGGGTTTTACTTCAGTATTTCGTCTCCAGTTCTCTGATTATGTTTCTTGACCAAGCATGATTCGCATCGCCTTATGTCTAATATCAATCTATACTCATTCCTGTCTTCGCAAGTCCGACATTCGCGAAACGTTGCATAGAGTATGGCAATAAGGCGAGGCCATGTTATAGCTGGAAGATGTGGCAACCAGAGCCAGTAGGTATAGTCTTACCATCGCGTTCCGCAACCAACATGGTAGCCTAACTACCTACCTAGGTATTATTATTTAATCAAGTTTATTGTCCATAACCTACCTAGGTAATGACAAGCAACGGTAATACGCCCGTCAGAGATACGCCATAGGGCCCTACTGGTCAGATGTGATTGACCTGTCATCTATCACTTCCAACTGCTTCCCCCTCGACTGACCCGTCTTCTAACTCACTACACTCTCACTGACCCCCCCCCCTGTGGACCCCGACTTTAACCTCTCTCCTTCTGACAGTTGGAGCTTTACCCTTTATCGAGTACTCCTCGACTTTTATTCCACTTCTCTCCGCTATGGGTTCCATCAGCTCTGAGTTCTCCGGGGAAAGGTCAGCGCTTATCCAGGGGCTGAGTAAAGCGACCGAGATACAGATGATGAGTAGGATAACACATGCCTTTATCTGGTTATCCGATATTAATACCCTGAAGGAACACGTCGATGATGCGGAATCCGGTGCGCGCAGAGCTAATATGGTGGTTAGTATTCTTTCAAGCGACGAGCGGTGTACCAGGACATTGAAGTGGTTTCTTGCTCGCAAACAAAAATCCTCCGACGATGACGGACCGGCTAGGTTTTTTGTCGAGTCCTCCCCCGAACCCCCAGAGCCTCCAGAGCCTTCAGAACACGCATCCGTGGAGTCCCCGAAAACTCCTACAAAGCGAAGGTCGCTAGGCAACCCTGCATCTTCAAGCAAAACCCCGCGGCTGCAGGGGATTAAGCGGTCTCAGCCTGCAAAGGAAATTGCGAGCAACAGAGACGATGATCAATGTGTTATCACTCACATGGGTGAGCCTATTGAGATCTGCCGTATTTTCCCGTTTTCCCTCGGGAAAAAATCTCCAAGTGACCGCCATGAGTTCTGGTCGCTTCTGAGGAATTTCTGGTCTTCCGAAACACTAGAAAAGTGGAAGAATGAAATTTTCGGCCACAAGGGGCGAACGGAGGTGCCCAAATACCTCCTATGTCTGTCCAACATCGTGCACGAACTCTGGGGCATGGCCAGGTTGGCTCTGGAACCAATTGAGATGTCAGAGGATAAAAGATCTCTGACAAGACGGTTTTGGTGGTTACCTCGCGACAAAGCTACCGAGATGGTCCCCATGCAGGAGGCTCCTGTTCTTCCCGCTCGTCTTGAAATGAGTCCGCTCAAGTGTAAGCTGTGGGATTGCTAGACAGAGAAGCGGATTTATTCAGGCCACTTGATCACTATGACGACTAAAGATCCGTTAACAATGCCTCTGCCATCTTTCGAGCTTTTGCACATGCAATGGGTATTGACTAGGGTTGCCGCCTTGAGCGGCGCGGCAGACATCACAGACGAGGAACTTGAGGACGGCTTCGGGGGCATTGGACCTGTGTTCTTCCCTTTGACATCACCTGAAAACCCTTGCCGCCCCCTCTCAAGGAGCCCACGTCGCGATTCAAATGCCAGTGAAAATCGGCCCCTGGCTTTCCGAAGTAGAGAGTCGTCAAAAATCAGAGAGTTATCGGAGGAGCCTTCTAACAATTCTTGTGATGATCCTTTCATTCAGTAGCGATACGAACCTGGCCACCTGGCGAGCGGAATCCCTTCCAGATTAAGGTTGACCCGCTTGGTGTTGGAAGATGGTCTTATCTACGCATCAGGCGCAGAAGATTCCTGTAAATAGTCTTTCTTTTTCTTTTTTCTTCTTACCTTCCTCGAGTTCTTAACGCTGCGTCTGGATTTCCCACGTTCTGTTTGGCATTGTGTTTTTAGATCTTCGCGAAATCCCCCTATGTCAGCACACAACATAGACTTTCCTATGATTTGTGCGTGGCTAACTGCCTTTCTCCGCCTGTTCTCCTTTCCCTTTTCGTTTGCTACCTTTTTCTCCGTCCTTAATTCCCCTTCCTCCCCTTGCTCACACGAAGGCATGGTGCTCAAAATGGGATAGTCTAGGGACTGATACCTTGGGTTACCTCAAGTTATTTGAATGTGCCGTCGGTTATCTAAACAAAAGGAATCATCTGACCCCGCGAAGATAAAGCTCGGAATGCTTTTTCTTATGCCCCGGGTCAGCACAAGACAATTGATTCCTTGTTGCGGCTAGATCGTATCGACATGGTTTTCGGTGACAGGGAAGAGGGTTGCGATATGCGTGGGCCAATTTCAGGTTTTTACACCGTTCCAATACCTCGGGAATTGGCTGTTTCCTTTTTTCATCGATTTTCCATGATCATCATCGCTTGGCACATGCTTCGCCTTGTGTTTGGCTTTATGTTGTGGAGAGTGTCCAGCAAGTCAACATTTCTGTCAATTGCAAGGTCGGTTCCGTGTGTGGAAGGGACATCGCTATAAAAAGGACTGAATTCGGGACAATAAAAATGCAAAACTTCTTTTTTTCTTTTCACATACTAGCATCCACACGGATAGAGTGATTGAGAATAGACTTTTACAGCTTCCTTACCACATACTCTACGAAGAGCCCATGTCGAAATCAGCTATTCGCATACTTCCGGTCACCCTCACGGACAATGCCAATTCAACAGCTCTCACGGATCTCGAAGCAATATATGCGATCGAAACAACTGCTTTCCAAATCGGAAGAAGCGCGCAAGATACGGCCCTCCATCAGCTTATGTTCGGGCCTCCGTCCGTCGTCAGCCAGAACCAGCGCGCAGACGAGCTGCGAATGAAACTGAAGAGCGATTCTACGTTCAGAATCTACAAAGCAGTCCTTGTGGACGAGATCTCATCTGACTATCAAAAAGACGAAAAAATTGTTGGTTTCGCGATCTGGAATTTTTATAATCCCAAGCCCCGCTGTATCAGGCAGGAGAACAATAAGCGAATATCTCCGCATCGTCCGCGGATCTTCAACGATTTCTTCGGCGCACTGGCTAGAAAGAGAGAGGCTTTCATGGGCAATGGCAGATTTGCGCGTATGTCTCACCCAAGTGTCACGCTGGAATCATCGCTTGTGCATGGAACTAACTGAGTGTTTGCGTCCTTAGATCTAGAATTTCTCGCCATCCTACCACCCTACCAAAGACTTGGCATTGGGCAGGATTTGCTTAGCGTGGGTCTTGAAGAAGCTGATAGAAGGGGAATTCCCGCATGGGTAGAGTCTACTACCGAGGCCTATGGGCTTTACCGGTCTCGCGGTTTTTCTGAGGTGGTTGAGGTCACCATGGATCTGAGAAAGTACGGTGCAGACGGAATAGTGCCAACATACTGCATGTTGCGGCCGAGATCCATGAGACGGAATTAGACTTTGCAGGACCAATCGGATAGAAAGCTCTAGAAGATCAGGGCCAAATGATAGAGTTTATTTCTAGGGGTCTGGACTGGGCACGTTTTAGGGCATTGGTATGACTATCACGGATATCATTTGATTTTGCCTTTTTTTTTTTTTTTTTTTTTTTTTTTTTTTTTTTTTTTTTTGGCGGAAAGAATTAAAATAAAATTTTTTATGGGGTTGGGGTTTTAAAAGAGCACACGCGAAACTACGGGCATGTTT